TATCATTACCTATTTATGTGGGCGCAGTAAAACCCGCAGCTTTGCCCAGCGGGACTCGCTGCTCTCGCCTCCCGCACGAAGTGACACCGAGATGCCCCCGCCGCATCCCCGCACCATCCTCCTCTCCCCAGCACGCACATGCCCGAAGCTCCTCGCATACAAGTTCCGCCCTGCCTGGAGGAGGGCGATTTCCAACAGGCCTCCCGGGATCGCGGCACCTGACACCGGGGCGGGGACCGGACGGGGTGATCACACACCAGGGACATTCACCAAGGTAGCAGGGCTGATGGAGCTCGTACCGGCCACGGCTCACACGGCTCCCCGGCCCCGGAAGGGGCACGGCACGGCACAGCGCGGCGCCACCCCCTTCTCCCTCTGCCCGCAGGGACCATTGGCGCAAAGCAGCGGGATGGAAGCAGCGCTCCGCCGGCTGCCTGCCCCGCGCTTCCCGGGGAAAGGCGACGGCTGCTTACCGGATCTCGCATCCGTGTGAGCGGCTCCGGCGGCCGGTTCTGGAGACAAAGCGAGGGGCTCCCGCGGCCCTGCGGGGGGCCTAGGGGAGCGGGCAGGAGCGGACGGGCGGCCCGGGCCTCCGCCGCCGGGACTCGGTGCCGTGGGCACGCCGCTCAGGACAGGGCAGGTGCCGGCGGCACGGCGGTGCGGAGCCGAGCGGAGCGCCCTGCGCCGCCGCAGCCGGCCTGCGTTACGGTGCGGGGCGAAGGGAGGAGCCTGCGCGGCGCCGGGGCGAGCGGCGTGGCCGCGGTCCGCTCTGCACCGCGGGGTCCCCCGCCGCCACAGCCCAACGACCGCGGGCGCCGCCGCGTGCCCGGGGCTGCGGCTGCATCCCAACGACTGCCCGGGAGGGCGAGGGGAGCGCCAAGGCCCGTGCACATCCGCGGGTGTCCCCAGCACCTCACCCGCGCTCCTGTGTCGGCCCAGCCATTCCAGTCCATAGGTGCTAGGTACCGGGGCCAGCGTGCCGCACCTGAGCTAACCTGAACGCCAGTGCGGCTGACTGAGGGGGAACACAGCACTGTTGCTAAGGAAGGTATATGAGTGAGGAGGAGGAGGAGGAAGGTTTAAATGAAGCCGTGGTGGTCCGTATGGGGGTGTGGAACGGGGAGAGAGGAGTCGCTGGAGAGGAGGGGACTTTCTTCCCTAAGGCAGAGGAGGTAGGGGGGTTGCAGTAGGCTGCCAGACGGGGTTTCTGAACAAGAATGCAGTGCAGTGCAGTTTAGTGTAGTGCAGCGCAGCGCAGTGCAGTACTATAGGCTGGCCTTAAACTATGCTAGGAATGTCCAGTCAACATAGCAGTCAGCCCATGATAACTTTGAATTATTTTTTGGTGGCCTTCTGCTAAACTTGCTCAGCAGATATTGATCATGTTGTCTTTCCTGTAGCCCAGACCTGGACATAGAAGTCTAGATGTGGTCTAAGATACTCATATTTAGATCACCCTACACTCCCAGGCATGGTAAGGGCATTCACCATCCTTTCTGTTGTTGTGTGTGTGGCTGTTCTGGCTGCTTGGCATCCCAGCCTTGAAGTATCACTCTTGGTGCTGGTGGCTGTGATATGGGGGAACAGGTCTTGGTCCTGGCTTTAAGAACAGAAGGGACTGATTTGGGCAAGCAGTAAAAACACTGTTTGTTCAAACACCTTGTTTTCCTGCCACACTTGTAGTTCACTAAGTTTGGCTGAAAATATTATAAAATACAGGCTTTGGTCTATGCCATGGAGGGCTTTATCTGTGCTCACTGGAACTGTTGAGTTAACCATATCCGGAAACAGATGTGCAAGGGACACTTGCAGTGCTGCAAGGTTGTTTTCTGAGTGCTAACTGACTTGTAAGGAAGTGTAAGCCGTGGGTGTTTCTCTTGTCCAGACACTGCCCATTCCAGGACTGTGTTCCAGGGGGCAGTAAGAAGAAAGTGTTTGGTTGCAGGAAATTATGACAGTTAGAGAGGCTATCTGAAGACTATTTGGAAAATGCTGTCTTCCATTAGAGAATTTTGCAATCCTTTGTGAAACTCAGGTCAGAGGTGATGTTAGGTTGAACACCAGGCTAATTTAGGTGTTCAGTATGGAAGACACTACATCTTGTGCTCTTTCGCAAGGAGTGTTGGTTACTGACCTGAATGATTCCCTGTAACCTTTTGCAGGTTGTTTGTGTATGTCCTGGTTTCATACAGGAATAGAGTTTTGGGGTTTTTCCTAGTAACTGGTGCAGTGCTGTGTTTTGGCTTTAGCCTGAGAGCAACACTGGTAACACACCGATGTTTCAGTTATTGGTCAGTAGCACTTACCCTGATCAAGAACTTTTCAGTCTCTCATGCTCTGCCAATGAGGAGGGGCACAAGAAGCCAGGAGGGAACAGAGACAGGGCACCTGACCCAAACTAGTCAAAGGGATATTCCATACCACAGCACATCAAGACCAGTATATAAACTGGGGGGAGTTGGCTGGGAGCTGCTTATCACTGACTGGGGACAGGCTGAGCATTGGTCAGTGGGTGGAGAGCAATGGTATTGTGCACTACTTGTTAATTTTTTTGTTGTTGTTTTATTCCTTTTTGTATATATTTCCTTTTATTATTACTATTGTTGTTATATTTTACTTTGTTTCAATTATTAAACTGTTCTTATCTCAACACACGGGTTTTATTGGTTTTTGTGTTTCTCCTCCCCATCCCATTGCAGGGCGTGGGAGTGAGTAAGTGGCTGCATAGTACTTAGTTGCCAGATAGGCTTAAACCACAGCGCTGTGAATGGTTCTTCTTCTATGGAACAGGAAGGCCCTCTAGAGAAGTTTGAACTTGATATCCTGGAGTACGCCTTGTTGGCTGCTTCCAAGCTGAGTAAACTTAATCTCAGACTTGTGTCCACATGATCAGATTTTGAAGAACTGCTAGCTCCTTCTTCATTCATCTCCCAGAAAGGGCAGTCCCCAGTTTCTGCTGGCTGCTTTTTTTCAGTTGGCAGAGCCATGTTCACATAGGATCATAGAATCACAGAATAGTTAGGATTGGAAAGGACCTTAAGATCATCGAGTTCCAACCCCCCCTGCCATGGGCAGGGACACCTCACACTAAACCATCTCACCCAATGCTCTGTCCAACCTGGCCTTGAACACTGTCAGGGATGGAGCATTCACAACCTCCCTGGGCAACCCATTCCAGTGCCTCGCCACCCTTACAGTAAAGAATTTCTTCCTTATATCCAATCTAAACTTCCCCTGTTTAAGTTTTAACCCGTTACCCCTTGTCCTATCACTGCAGTCTCTAATGAAGAGTCCCTCCCCAGCATCCCTATAGGCCCCCTTCAGATACTGGAAGGCTGCTATGAGGTCTCCACGCAGCCTTCTCTTCTCCAAGCTAAACAGCCCCAACTTTCTCAGCCTGTCTTCATACGGGAGGTGCTCCAGTCCCCTGATCATCCTCGTGGCCCTTCTCTGGACTTGTCCAACAGTTCCGTGTCCTTTTTATGTTGAGGACACCAGAACTGCACACAATACTCCAGGTGAGGTCTCACGAGAGCAGAGTAGAGGGGCAGGATCACCTCCTTCGACCTGCTGGTCACGCTCCTTTTGATGCAGCCCAGGATACAGTTGGCTTTCTGGGCTGTGAGTGCACACTGAAGTCGGCTCATGTTCATTTTCTCATCGACCAACACCCCCAAGTCCTTCTCCACAGGGCTGCTCTGAATCTCTTCTTTGCTTAACCTGTAACTGTGCCTGGGATTGCTCCAACAATAGTTCACAGGGTTTCCAACTTGGTTCATGGGTAGCCCTCATTTTGTGGCAGGTAAAAGGTGAGGGTAGGAGGTTGGTTTTGTGATTTTTTTTTTTGTTTCCCCTCCCTTCCATCGTATGTTTTGTACAGTATCATGCTGTTAGGTTCATCGTGTGCATCTTGTTTGAATGTTGGGTGGTGTTGCAGAAGTGTGAATGAAAGTAGAGGCTTTGCTGCCAGTCAGTTCAAAGAGGTTCTTGCTTCATCTTTACCTAAGATGGAATTCCTGGTCCTGCTCCCCTTCCCTTCAGACCTAAAGCTCACGTTTGTATTGAGTGTAATGTTTGATGTGCCCGTGCCAGGCTTGCCCTACTACATCGTGGAGGTGGGCTAGGTCTGTTCTGAGTTCTATGGCATGGTCAGGAAACTGGGGTTTATAAATAATGTGCAGCCACTTCATGATCTCTGTGTCTTGGACTGGGAACCTCTCCAGAAGATGTGAGCTCAGTTTCTGGTGGTACCACAAGTTGCTAGAGAAAGTGTGTCATCTTCCTTAGCATGTGTTTTCTATATTGCATTAGGCAAACATGTTTTGCTTATATATTTATATCTATCTCCCAGATTATCATCAAATGGTTTTCACTTGCCACTAGTCTTGATTGAGGAATCTGGGTTTAAACTCCTGCCCAGAAATACCCGTAGTGGCAGAGCTACCATGTCTTAGCCTGAAATGATGAGCCCTTTTACGTGATTTTTTGCTTCCTGGAATAATCTTGTAGGTGAGCACACTAACATAGTGAACTGAGAAGCCAGAAGAACTTGAATTAACTTCTTCACTGACAGTGCCAGGAACATCTCTTGAGGTGGATCTGTCATTCCTTGTGTGCATTTCCTCAGCTGCGAGGTTAAGAGCGTGAAGACAGTTGTGCTTTTTGTAGTAAGGGAGCTAACAAACCATTAGTGTGAGGATAAGTGAGCTTCTGCATCTGTCCAACCATCAGATGATTTCACTTTGACATAGGTTTTCTGATGTTGGATTCTTTGGCATTTGGGCCATTAAAGCCAGCTACTGCCTGCTTAGACACCGGGGTAATCTGACACATGAAGATCTTTTGGGTCTGGCTTGCTGCTGTTGGTAATGTGATGAGAGGAAAACAGTTAAAACACTCTGTCAAAAGGATAGATGATTTAATTTAAGCAAAGATCAGTAGTACTTCAGCAGAGAAAAAATTTCTTCCAGTTTGGAGTTTTCATGGGATAACGCCTCTGTCTCTGGTGTAGTATGTGGTATTGATGTACAGGGGAAGAAAAAATGAAATCTGAGTTGTAATAAAATCAGTCCTAAAAATCTTCCAAACGAAGTAATCCATGAAGTATTCCTTCTAATATGTTTGTCATTTCAGTGGTCATCCCCATGTACCTCAACTTCTTCAGAGAGACTGCAGTCACCAAGATAATGTAACACCGTGGAAAACAATGTTAGAAAGTTGCAAACCAACCAGCAGTGGCTTGTAAATACCTATACCAATCCCTATACCCGTATTCTACCACTAAACAGAAATCTTTGGGGGTTTTTACTGAGTGATTGAATTCCCTGTGTGTGAAGCTTTAAGGATATTTTTCTAGCAGTTCAATGATTTTTCGATACATTTTCTGAGGTGCATCAAGGCCCCAGATGAAACTAAGATGGCCCCAAGAAGGAAAATGCTCATGATAAATGAGATTTTTAATCCGAGGAAGCAGCTTTGCCGTGTCTTTTGGATCTGCAAATTTGTCCCGTCCACCACTCCAGACAGCAATTGGGGTGTTTATTTCCTCTATCTTGTACACAGGAGGAGTAGGCTGTAAGAAAGGGAGGAGACTTGAGTGAATGCTGTTATAGCAGGGGTTGTGTTTAGAGAAAGAATTCTGTGCAAGCACCTTTTTTCCCTTCTGCACTCACTGCAATAAAACAGTAAGGATGAAGACCACCCTCTTAGTGTCTATTTCCCTAGCACCATTCCCTGCCTCCCATGAAAAGGAACAGAACAATCCATTCTGTTTCTAGGTCTTTCCTTAATATACAGCTATGAATTGACACCTACTTGTGTACTAAAGAGTTGGGTATATGGAAAGAGCAGTGTGTTTATCAGGCAAGGACTGCAGAGTAACTGTTCTTATGTGTCCTGTGTTTGGCTTATATAGGGTCCTCTGCATGCTTTTATGGGCAGGGAGTGAAAGACTTTCAGCTGTATTAGAGCAGACTTCACTTGACACTGTAGGTCACAATGTTGATACTGATGGAGTAATATCATTACAGAGGAAATCAAAAAACATGGACAAGTAGAATGGAGATCTTCTGAGACATGAGGCAAATGACTTAATGCAGGATAGCTATTAGTCAACAGGGTGGTAAGGGACCATGCACAAGATGCTTTTAAATTTAACCCTATTATCTAAGGGTGGTTCTATTATTTTTTGCATGGACTGCTTTTTGGGAGCAGTTTCCTAACCATCCAAAGTATGGGGAATAGACTATTGCCACTTGAAAATTTAAACTTCAGTATTTAAAGACCATGTGGATGCAACCTCTGGAGTTTTTCTCCACCTGTAAAATAGTGTGCCACCCATAAAATAACTTGCCCTGACTCAGAAATGCTCACTGTAGTTCAACTGATTAGATCAAATCTAAAAAAACCTGTCAGATAAGTTACCAGTGTTGCAGGAGTGAAGTATTTCTGAGTGTTGACTAATAACCAAAGTGCCTAGTGACCAAGTTTTGTCTCTTTCCTTTTTTCTATACAGGATATATTAGTTCATCACAGCAATACTGAATCATCCCTTCTGTTTTATCTTTGCAGTAAATAGCTTCTCCACACCAAGGTATGCATACCCACTTTTAGCTGTGAGATTCATTTCTTCCCATAACTGAAAGTCTGACCTTGAGGACTTTTGGGGCAGTGAAGAGCTCCATATTCATCCAGTTCTAGGACTTGGCTATGGCTCTTAGCCTTTTGGAAGTGTTTTTGAATACATGTCTGCATCAGTAGAACAGGCAAACCAAACTTTCTTAGCTGTCTGCAAGGACCTGCCTATGCCTTCTCTGTGAATAGACTTTTATGACTATTAAATTCAGGTGAAACATTACCTCAGACACTCTCTCCCTCTGTCTGTATCACCTACAGGTGCTGAAATGTGAATTTTTCTGTTATTTTTTTTCAGGACCAGAGGATGAGTTCTCAGGGAAACTGTATTGCCTTACCTGGTTGTATTTCTTCATGTTTTCCTTAGAGCCATAGTCATAAGCTTGCAATTGGTCTGCATATATTACCTATTAATATCGTAACAAGGACAGATAAAGTGTTAAGAGGCAGACCAGAGTGCAGGAGGAATTTTCTTACCTGTGATTGAAGCCAAGGCTCAGGCAGTGAATAGTATTCAAGGGGTACTAAGGATGAAATGTAGGGTGAATGGCTTCATCACTTTTCCCCTTGCTAACTTTCTGCCCTGGTCCTCAGCCACCACCCTTGGTATGTTTTGTTATTAAAATTTTGCTTGACTATCTTAGCTTGGTAGTTGGTGTCCCTGTTTGTGACACCAAAATGTGCCAGGGCTGTTACTAGTCTAGTGTAACATATGATACCTCTGCACACACCCTGACACAGAGACTCTGGGCTTCTTGTAAAAGTTGTGATTATCTCAACACTAAACTGTTGTCGTCTTGAATGTGCTATGTCTAAAAGGAAAAACAACCAACCAACCAAAAACAAACCTGAAAGATTAACCTGCTTTACTGAAAATATGTGCGCATTTTTTTTAATCAAACCTTTAAGTAGCTGAAGATATGCTAGAAATCTGTTGGCTTGTCTCTATTTTTCTGGCTCTGGGTGCTGGTGGTCTGGATCCTGGGAATGTTAGTCAGGGGTGTGTGCAGGAGTATGCATGTATTTAAGCGTTGGCAGAAGTAACACAGTTCTCTGCACATACAGTCATGTGTTTCTGGGCCAGTGCTCTTTTGCCCTTGTCTGATTTGAAGCATAGGTAGGACAAGCTTAGCTCTGAGAGTGGCATAAGATGAGCAGAAGAGGCAGTTCCCCACTTGCTGCTTGTGCCAGCAGAAGAGTTTGTATCGTTAACTGGCTCTGGGAGGTCAGCCAGGCTGCAATTAACTCTCTGGGAATAAAGCTTAACCTGGATCCCTTCTTTGTCTGGCTTATCCCCTGGCCTGTTACCAAAGGGGCAATTCAGGTGATGACCTGGTGTGCCATGGGAAACAGTGCTGCCTATGGCAGGTGCTCGTGGCAGCGTGTGAGAAGATGCAATGGGCAGTTTCCCAAACCCACCATCTCTGGACTTCCCTTGTGGGCTGTTGGTTGCATAAAAAGCAGTAGCAAGAGTGTCAGTATGCAGTTATACCTGATGCCAATGAAGAGCATTCTGTACTGAAGTTCCAGCAGGATAATGTCCTACATACACATCTATTCGACTCTGGAGAGAAAGCGGAAGTGTTATAAGTGCATTAATCCAGTGCTGTGACAGAACAAAGCTGTGAGGAACCTGAGCAATATACTGCTTCTGTGTTAAACCCCATTTTAATATGATATTCTTTAAATATCAAAAAGAATATTGAGAGAAACGTGTGAGATTACAGTAGGAATGAGTATATAGAATTTTATCCATTTGGGAGCTTTTTTTCCACATTAGTGCTCAGTCATACAGAAAACACGATTTGGGGAATCTGTATGGCCTTTGTTTTTTCCAGTTTCTGCAGTTTGTATGATGCCTAGTGCTGTGCTTAATCAGTAAAGGATTGTTAATACATCGTCTGCTTGAGCATAATGGGGCTACATGTGTAGGAGGTTTTTATGGGAACACTTGTTAAACAGTCTTAGTAAGAGAGATGGAAGGCCATTGGAGAACAGGCATGTGGAATGTCTGCAAGAAAAAAGCTATCAGCCAGCGTAAAGGAATGAAATCTTGCCATTGGGAGAAAATTTGAAGAAACAGGTTTGAAAATGTTTTGATGGGTAACAACCGAAAGGAAACAATCTTTTATGTTCAGATGATCTGGATGTCTTCCTATTTAGGAAGGAAAATATGAACTGTGCAAAAGAAAAGATATCTTTCTCCATCCAGTTTTCCATTTTAAAAAGCTTTGGTATCTGTGAAGTTTTTCTTTGGCTTAGCCCCATAAGATGGGACACTGAGGGACATCATTGCATGATGGAACGATCCTGAATTCAGCCTTTCCTCTTTGTGTGATTTGAATGTGTCAGGTGGTATATCTTGTCACTAGCTGAGGTCCTAGTTGGCATTTCCTGAAAACCCTAACACATTTCTGTATGCCTCTGCAACTGTATGTAGCCATAAGGCAGAAAAATTGTTTTCCTTTAAAATTACATGAGTTATACTTGCATCAAGGTGCTCTTGGACATGCTTACCGTGTTCAGATTTTGTACCTTGTCCCCAGCTACGAAGCCTAAGACACTGCCACAAAATTTTCCCAGAGATTCACAGATCCATACCAGAGGTGGTTTCAGCAGTTCATTCTGGCGAAGAACTCCTTTGCAGCCAGCGAATAACTGAGGGAAGCAAAAATGCAAACCTTCCTTTTCCTTCTTCTTGTAGGATTATTTCACATAGAAAAAAGTCACTCCTTCTTCTCTACAGCCTTACCTTGCTGAAACTGATTGCCATCCCAGTATCCTCTAAGTGTGTTCTTCCCAAGACCACACCACAGGTTCTTCCTGCTGTTTATTATTACACATGAATTCTGCAGATCACTATCTGTCTTGTTTTAGTGCACTGACCTCAGTGAGAAGGGGCAGTTGGTTGCACTCACAACTGCAAAGTCTAGGAAATCCCTTTTTGCCCTAATATTTTTTCCAGGCAGGTGCACAAACTGTGCTGTGAGTGTTGCTGCTAAGTAAAAAGGGAGCAGACAAATGAGAAGGGTGTAGAGCTGGATGGTCTATATCACATAGTGGGTACAACTTGGGCAGAAAGAATATGTGCTCTGGAAGTTTGACATAAACTATATAGCATGCAGGATTTCCACCATTCCCACCAAGTTCTATTAAATTGGCAAATTACCCCAACTATTCTATGATTCTATGATTCAGGTGTGAAATAGGTGTTTCCCTTTAAGGAAATGTTCATAAACATAAATGAACTGCGTGTCTAATAAAAATAAGGTGTTTCATTTGTAGTTTTTTACTAGTGCTTAAGGCTAGATTTAGTAGATTTAGATTATGGTATTTGTGAGCTTCCTTCAAAAACATTTGATTTAAACAAAAAAAGGTGAAAGGATGCCTCTTAGGTGAAAGTAGTTGCAAAAGAGATATCGCGTCAAGCCTTGTAGCTTAGATCTGTGCAAAGTCTTAAGTCTACCAGCCCTGTCAGCAGTCTGATAGACTGAATTAATTCTTAACTTGCCACCCCTTAAACTCAGTTTAGGTTGAGTGAGTTCAGTAGAGACAAAGCAGACAATTATGTATTTTAGCAAGAGGAATGTCATACCTTGATCAGAAACTGGGGAAACCGAGTAAGTGTTACCAGAGGGCTGGTACCATATGTGGTTGTGACTACTGGTCCCAAAGCGAAGAACACTTTAACCCTTTGAGCCAATTCAGGATAAGTGGCAAATGCTATAAAGCCTGCAAAAGCAGAAGACACAAGTCAAGTTAGTAAAGAGACCTCCACAGATCAAATAAATAAATAAAAAAGCAGTAGGCAGCAAATTGAGACTAGATTAGCAGGCCATTGGCAGTTGCCCATTTCTGTGCTGCAGGCCTGAAGGAAGTGTTTGATTCTTGAAACTTATGTGGGAGACAGAGTTCATTCTAAGGAAAGAGGTTCATTAGAGCATGTCTAGGTATTGGTTTTCTCAGAACTGAAAATATTGTGTTCAGTCCATTCTTGGGGGGAGAAGTTGCTTTAATCAGATTTTCTGAATGCAAATTCCTTCTGAAGTTCCCCAAACTCTAATAAAATAATGAGGTTTTCAGCTTGCAGTCTCTGAAAGGCTGTATATATTTATACTGACACACAGTAATACAATAACTCTCTGAAGAGCAGAGTTTTTACTCGTCACTAAGAGTAAACCCAGGTAACAGTGAATGCACACATAAAGAAGGAGTATGGAGAAGGAAAAAAGGAAGAAAAAACAAAAAGGATGTATCACATCCTGTTTCCTGAATATTTCTCCACTGCTGCATTTGCTGAGAACTTTAACTGGTTGCCTAAAACATAGGAATCTAAAGACAAAGATGGGGATGTTTTGGCCTAAATGATTTGTTCTGGAAAAAGATCCTTAGAATACACATATGGGAAGAAAGAAGAATTCCCTAAGAATGTGGCCACTTACATTTTCTCCTGTTTCTGAGTTTATTTTTGCAAAATGCAGTGGCACACCATGGCATAAGTCCCAATGTCTGCTCGTAGATCTTATACATATGTATGTATACATATGTGTATGTATACATATGTATATGTATATGTATATGTATGACATATATATTTGTCATAAATACCAACATTAACTACCAACATTTTGGACCAGGCAGTCCTAACATTACCTGCAGTTCCAGCCTCTGAGTGACCAACAAAATATACATCCTTCTGACCGGTTTTATTCATTATGAAGTCCAGCTCTCCTCGAACATCGTATTTACCTATCTCATCAAAGCTACAGGGGAGAAACAAAGCAAGCTATCAGATAATTTAGCTGTTACAGTGTGAGCTACTGAATATAATTTTTCTTCATTGCACCAAGCAGGACTCATTTAAAGATGATGTTTCATGCTTTGTCTGCATTCTTGCTTGAGTTGGGGAAGGGGGTAGAGGGACACCGTGAACTGCAAGGCTGTCTGATGCCTTGCACTCTCTGCAAGGGAGGTGTTAGTTTTGTCTCTTAGCTGAGGGTCTTGCAGAAGTGAATGTAATCGTTGCTCTCACCAGCATGGGTTACAAAAAAATATTTCTCAACTGATATCAGTTGTGCTAGATCAGATTTGTACACTGAGCTGAGGACTCTCCTCTCCTGTCTGCACCCAGGACATGGTATGGGAGACTTCAAAGTTACAAATGTGTCCCAGTTTTGAAAATCTTTTCCCCAAAGGAACCAACACTGTGTTTGGACAAAGGTGACCTGTGTGCTTGCAGATGTGCTTCTGTATATGGTGATTCCAGAAGGGCCTGCCCAGATCATGCAGCCAAGACCTTGTTATGTCCCCCCTGACATAACCAGAACTGGCTGCATCTGTTGCTCGTCTCCTTAGATGATGCATATCCCACTTGAAGTCAGAAACCATAATGGTTTTCATATAATCAAGAAGGGTATATTTTTCATATAACCAGAAAGGGAGAGGTCCCCTGAGAGTTTCCTTCTTCAGTGATTCTTTTTCCATGGAGTACCTGAACTGCCAAAACTCTTTCTGGCAGGGCTTAAGGGTCTTGTGTTTTAAAGACCAGGTGTTTCCTCGGCTGTTTCCCAACCAGACGTCATAGCCAGCATCTGCGAGGATGAAGCCCAAGCTGCTGTTAGGCAGGTTAGAAATCCAGTGAATACAATCTCCTAAAGTACCATGGTGTAGCAAGATTGCAGGCTTTTTTCCTGAAAAAGAAGAGGGTTTTCTTATGCTGTAGTAGGTAATGTCTGTTAAAACTGGGGTTCAGTTTCTGGTTTTGCAGGAGTTTTTTAACCTGTATACCAAATTCAGGCCAGATTCCTGACTAGGTGGTCTTGCTGAGACTGAAAGGTGTGGAATATGTCACAGCATGTGCAAAGGAGAAAAGATGGGGGACCCATAGAAGGGTTGACCCTCAGGCTTTCTCCTATTTTTCCTCCTCCCATCCTATGACTGTGTCATACCTGTATTTTGGCTGTTCCTCCCAGCAGGAATTCTGAAAACACTAAGAATGTACCCATCCTCTGTAGTAACTTCGTATTCCTCACTGGGGTATCCATGATATCTGATAATTTCACTCTGTGAGAAACCAAAGGAGAGTTTGTGAACATGCAGGTTGTCCTGTTTTGGAGGGTAACCAAGCTGAGCAGTGCGGATGTGGGCTGTTCTGAGACATCAGTGCAAGGCCCCTGCCACAGGGACCATGGCTGAGAATGATTATTACAGGTCTTGTAAAAAGATGCACCAGAGTCTTCTTCAGTCCTGCTTAAGTGGTAGTTGTCTGGTATTCGACAGCACATTATGGGATGAAACAGGACTGCACTGAGTGACTAACTTTTTGGGAGATAGTTTGTCCTGTTTTGCAAGGCTGATACAGATCATACCTTTCTATAAATTAAATACATAGGAGTGTTGATATAAGACAATGCCAAAAGCTGTGGGTTTTGGTCCATAATCAGTCCTTCCTTATCAAAGTGTGGTTAGGCAAGCCAGATAGGGTGGATCTCCTATTACAAATTCACTTACAGCACCACCTATTACACTCCTGCCACTAACCTGAGGAAATCTTTGATGATTCAGAGCAATGGGTCTTGTATTACTTTGTGTAATGCCAATCTGCTGCTTCAAGGAGGAATTCATCGTCCATTGCCACTACACAAGTTGTTACAGAAAGGGAGGGCTTTGCTTACTTTGAGACTAGAAACCAGCCTTTGCCTCCACAGCAAAGGAATTCTTTTCTCTGGCAGCTCAGACTGTTTGAATGGAAACATCAAGGTGCTAGCGCTGGCTTTTAGGCTAGTGCTCCCTCTCACGTTGCTGGAGCTACTTTTAACCTCCTCACTGGTACTGTGGGTGGGGTAGTGGTATTGGGAGAGACACTTTAGAAAGAAAGGGAGAAAAGTGACCAAACTTACAACATTCATAAAGGATTCGGGGTCATGAGGCTTCCTGAACTGGCTTTTGTCTGAGTTCAGAGTGGAGGGTGTTGTGAATCCTGCTGAAAAGGCAATTGCTTGAGAGCAGAGCAGCATGAGGAGGCACCACATCTTGGGGCTGAGTGAAAGAACACATGCAGGGTTGTCTGCATTAGGAATGGCATGGAATTCCACAGGAAAAACCAAGTGGGGAGGCTTCTGAAGGTTGCCCATGGTCTGTTCCCCAAGCACCTGCCAGAATAAGTGAGGAGGGACTGCCTGCAGCTCACCCCGTTCAACAAGGACCAGGATTGCGTCAAAGGCTCCGAGAGGATGTGGAACCAACCTGGGGCAATGTGCTTGTATAATACTGGTGTTAATTTGTGTCATAAGTTCCTTCCTTTCTCTCTCACGTATAGTCTTCCCTATTGTAAATCTGTGTATTGGCCACCTGAAGAAAAGATTGCATTTTCATAGTTTTTTATGGATTGACTAATGATCACAGGGTAGCTCTTCTGAATAGAAATCTCAAATGCATTTTACTTAATGATCTGCTTTTTGGCTGTATCCACCTCTGTAATCAGCATAGAGGAAACAGGTCATAAAACCAGAGTGTCTTATAAGACCATATCATGGGGAAGATTTTTAAGATTTTGAGAGCCTGAAATGGATAGCCTAAGGTTTTGTTTTCTTTGAACTTCTTCATGAAGGAGGGAGTTCTCAGTTCTTTACATTTTTGATTAAATCTGTCATAACCCTTGAGTCACTGGAACATTTGGATTAAACCAAAACTGGATATATTCAGGTCCCCCACTTGGTAGGAGAAGACTTCAATTATTGTCATATAGAATAGCATTGTGCTCTGGAAGCACAATTTTATACTTGATATTCCACTGCTTTCTGCTGTTTTATTCAGTTCAAACAGAAGTAAAACCTGTTCCTCTATTTCTACATGTGGAACAATGTTTGAGAACAAAACCAAAAAGTTCAGCTTAAGTCACCGTTTGTTTTTGGACGGCAATAGGGTAGCTAAATTGCTGCCTTTTTAGGGTGTATTTTTTTCTATATACTATATTGTCACCTGACTTAGCTGACATGTTTTGACACACTTTCAGATGAATGCTTTTTAAATCAGAGTGCGCCAATTAACTCCAAGGCTTGGCACATGATGTCTCATTAATTTCAGTGGCAAATTCTTGACTGTAGGAGCCTTGAAGAACAATCTAGTCTTTTTATGTAATGAAACAACAAGAGTAGCATTTACTATGACAAACTAGAATTAACTGAAAAATTTTATTAAAAAAAAAAAAAGAATAAAAATGTAAAGCGAGAGACTGGAAAGGCGCACTCAAAATGCCGTTTCTGGAGATTGTTAGTATTTAATGAAAATAGGCTTTTAATCTTCTAAAAATTCATCAGTGTACTATTGAAAGAGTTTTATTTTTTTTTTCACATACACTGTAAATGGAACAGAAAGGCACCAGTGCAGTTAATGTGGCTAGCAAATGTCAGAATCTCCTGGTTAAATTACAAGGAAAGCTTACATGCAATTGGAACTATGAGATCAAAATGTCCTATTTATGCACATGCTTTCAATACTGAGATTATCACGCATCCACAGTGCCATCCTTAGAAAAAAAACCCAACAATTAGAACAAAATTAAACCATCAGATACTCCTTTTTCCTGTTTGCCCAGGGCAAAGACGTCTTCTCAACTTTATCAAACACGCACTTTGATGCATAGCATCAGGCTTGCAAATTAGAAAAGGTGCAGGCTGTCTACTCTGACTTGCAACTGCACAAAAGCAAGGCTGCACATCTTTATGGAGAAAGGTGGCAGAGAAAACTATATATGAATGCATATGTACAAGCAACTTACCTCCACTTTGACTGCCTTGATTGTGTCTTCTGTTGCAGTTCCTAGTCTGTCTCCACTAGCAGAGTGATTGACTGGCAGAAACCTTTGCCAATAAAAGGAGCAGCAGTAGAGTGCTATGTGATGTCTGGACGTATGAGAGAGCATGTTTAAGTGCTGATTTGGCAGTATTTAAGGAGTGGAGTTATTTTATGATAAACAGCACCTTTGCATGACATTCTGAATGACTAAATTGCATCTTGGAGGAGAGGTAAAGAGGCGTCTAACCTGTGGGTAAGATACTTAGCAAGGACCTGGGGGATTCTTCTACCCTGAGGCTGTGACAGATCTTGTTCTGTACTGCTGCCTGTGTTGGGGACTGCTGTGGCCACATTATTTTGAGATGAAGGGAGTTAAAATCAAGTTTTTCGCAACACTTCCTACCCATGAACATGGTCTCTGCAGCTCTGGCTTGCACGGAAGCTGGTGTGGTCACTGATTCCACATCTGCCACTTGTTTTCTGAACTGCTGTTTGCATATTGCTCAGGGTCAATTCTTCTTTGTTAGGTAATCTTAGAATAAAAATAAAAGTGATCTGAAAGGTGTGTGTTTAACCTCAAACATACATTCCTAAATAGGTTGTTCCGTGAACACCACAACTTGCAAAGACCAGTTCGCTCTGAATTAGCCTGCTTATGTAAGGGCTCTCAGGTATTGAATTAGATTTGAAAATGTGTAAACTTTGAGTCAGAGAGGATGGTAACAAGATTTCTTGCTTCTTCTAAGCCATTTCCATGAACTCTCTGAAAACACAGTGTGTTTGAAGACCTCTGCCTAACCACTGAACTAATTGTAGTCAGCCCAGGGGCTCTGTACTCACTGGAATTGGCCTGGTGCCCTGGTACAGCAAATTCTCTGGAATGTGGGTGCTAATCATCTGCTGTTTTGTATGGGTAAACAGTGAAGTAAGTCTGTGTTAGTAAACAAAACCAGAGAGTCACCACATAAACACTTCTGCTTTATAGAGTGCAGTCCATGGAAAAGCCAAAAAAGTGATTTCTCAATGAAAAACATTACGGCTTGCACATTTCATACCCCTGCCTAGTGAGAGATACAAAAGATTTTTCTCTGCTTTATTCTCAGCTAATGACATGCTACATTTTTTTTTTTGTTTTGTAGAATTGTCAGCCTGGAATGATCTGCAACATTATACCTAGTTTCACCAGAGATATGTGATACCATTTGTGATACTGTTAGCACAAATCTAGCAAAGAATGAAAAATAGGTTAACCTACCTGAACAGGGAAAAGAGACTATGAAAGTACTGCCTGTAAAAAGAGCATAGGAAACAGAAAACCTAAAATGATCAGGCAGGTGGTTTTCCCAGGGCAAGGCTCATCCTTTGCACTCCGGGTGTGTTGTCCCCTGCGATTTCCCCAAATGCAGGAAAAACATAACCACATAATCTGCGGTAGTGGGGGACTGTGTTTGCGCTCTCTCCCTCCTATATCTTCTCTCTCTGGTAGTAGGACGCCTTTTGTTAAAGTCTGAGACATGGGTTGGTACATGTGGGCAGCTGGATAAATCTGATAGATTGTCTCCCAATTGTTTGAACACCTGGGATAGTTTTTCCACAGCTGAAATGATGAAAGGGGTGAGATTGTCTTCAGACTCTCAGAGCTGATGAATAGTTTCATCCACTGTTGGAGGCACTATGTCATTCCAGGTTATTGCTGCCAATGAGTGGGCATATGATGCTGGTGCTCTCTGTGTAAATTTCCATCATATGAGTCGTGTACATTCAACTTCATCTGGATCTACAGATGCATTCCCAGCATCTGGCCTGTGATAGATCATCTCTACAATGGCTGATTCCCTCAGAGACTGGATGCCTTTCTCTGTCGTGGTCCAGTTGGCTGAATGACTCATAACATCATACTTGTATGGAAACCTTTCTTTCACAGCCGTCAAGAGCCGCCTCCAAAGGCTGAGGGACTGTTTTGCCTTTGCAATTGCTTTGTCAATTCCCCCTTCCCTAGCAAGTGATCCCAGCTGCTTGGCTTCCCCACCTCCTAGTTTGTGTTTGTGACTGTCAGCCCCATTGTCCCAGCATCGGAGCAAACAGGTGATGATGTGCTCACCCGGTTGATGGGTAAAATCTTTTTGCATATTCTATAGTTCAATTAAAGTCTGGGTCAAGAAGTCACCTCTTCTTCCTCTGATTCACATAATAATAACTCTTGATCAGATGCTGTCCCATGTAGTAAGTGCATTGGTTCTTTATCTTTCTTCATTGTATGGGTTGCTTTTTGTGTCTCTTTTTTGCCTTTTCCCTTGTGTACAGGGGCAACTGATATTGGCATGAATTGGTCCTTTGGTTTAGCTGCAATGACTATCACTGTGGTTGGGATGACTGCAGTATCTGTTGTCGGGGCTGGTGCAGCCTCTGTACTTGGGGTATGAGTAGCACCAGCAGCTGTGCTGTCTGTTGCTGTCAGAGTTTGAGTAGCTGCTGTACTTGTCGCTGGGGTTGGTGTAGTTGCTGCAGTTGCTGTACTTGGATTTGGAGTAGCTGTGTTATCTGTTGGAGTCAGAGTTTGAGTAGCTGCTGTACGTGTCACTGGGGTTGGTGTAGCTGCTGTATTTTGAGTTGGAGTAGCTGCATTGTCGCTTTGCCATCACATCCAGAGACAGTTTTTTCCCTTTGAAGGTGCTGGATAGTATTGAGCAGGGCTCTGTAAGCATAGGCCAAGCCCCAGCACGTTGCCGTGATTTGTCCGTCTCTGGTATGGCCAGAATGACCACACACCTCATTTAAGTGTTTTACCAATTTTTCTGGATTTTGCACTTGTTCAGTGGTGAGGTTCCAAAGCACTGGAGGGGCTCACTGGCCTAGATACTTGCCCATACTATCCCACAGCCCCTGCCACTCATGGCTGTCCAGCCTCAGGGAAAATCTCTTGGTCCTCCTATATCGTCATTTAACCCCAGACAAGACCCAAACCTGACTCTGCTTTACTTTTGAGATCAGATGAAATGGTCATGAGTAAAACACACTCTGTATGCGTGCCGATATGGTGATCCCCATCACAATCAGCAAACAGGTCTCAAGGGTGCCCAAAGGCCATTCAAAACCTTCAGAACTCTCAAATGATGCTGTAAATAGTCTGGTGGGGGTGCTGGGAACGTAAGAGAATGTCTCCTTCATAGGTTGACCATCCAAGGAGGGAAAAAAAAGATGTGTAATTGCTAAACATTTCCATTATATACCCCCCAAAGTATAGAGGTGGTGACCACACTGGGAACACAAGCCAGATCAGTTTCATGATCAACGAGTCTATTGTATTACAAGTCATTATCATAAAGTACAGCAAAACAAGAAACTTAGGCCAAGGCCCCCCAGCTAGTAAAGATTAAAACAGCAAATACCACCTGTAAATAAGGTACAACATGCTGAAACTCCAAGACCAAGAGCAAATCGGAAACAATGAATGCTTATCACAAATACAATTAGACACACCCTGGTCAGATCTGTCCTTATCTCAACCCTCCAGGCCCCATGTTGAGCGCAGCAAAGAACTGTCCTGGTTTAAACCTAGCCTGTAATTCAAAACCACGCAGGTACTTGCTCACTCGCCCACCTTCCTCCTCTCCCCACTCCCGGAGGATCAACAGAATGTAACTCCCATGGGTTGAGACAAGAACAGTCCAGTAACTAAGGTATAACACAAATCGCTGCTGCTACCACCAATAATAATAATGATAAGGGAAATAACAAGGGAAGAGAATACAACCGCTCCCCACCCACCTACTGATACCCTACCAGACCCAAGCAGTGATCTAGCCCTTCTGGGTAACTGCACCCAGTTTATATACTGGGCATGATGTGCTGTGGTATGGAATACCTCTTTGTCTTGTTTGGGTCAGGTGTCCTGTCTCTGCTTCCTCCAAATTTCCCCTCCTCCCTGGCAGAGCATGAGACACAGAAGTCCTTGGTCAGAGTAAACAGTACTGAGCAGTAACTAAAACATTGGTGTTATCAGCATTGTTCCCAGGCTGAGAGTCAAAAACACAGCACTGCACCAGCTACTAAGAAGGAGAAAAATGAGTGCTACTGCTGAACCCCGACAGGTATACAGAAACTTCTCAGCATGTGCTGTCCTTACTTAGAGAGCCATGCTAGCTGAGATGGTAATATTTTGTTTTGAAAATGCTGGAGCAAAAGTTTCACATAGTATGAAGTATCTAACTATGTCTTAACCCCCAGTATCTGCCAACTCTTTTTTAAGTACCCTCGAGGTAGCCTGTGCATCTAAAGACATCCCTGATGATCTGCAGGCTTGGAGGGGGAGGACAAAGGGGAATACGTCTTCCTTTCTCTTTTGCAAAGACTGTAAAATACAAAAGTAACATTCATCTAAGAAAATAGTCTGTATATGCTTTTCCTTTTGTCTTTGAACCCTATTCTTCTTCTCAAGTACTTTTATAGTTCTCATCAATTTTCTCCCTGCCTTTCATAGAATCAATCATTGAATCACAGAATGGTTTGGGTTAGAAGGGACCTTAAATGATCTAGTACACGGTGACCATGCCTATGGCAGGGGGTTTGGCACTAGATGATCCAAAGGTCTTTTCCAACCATAACTATTCTATGATTCTATGGTTAAAGAATCCCTGCCACAGGCAGGGACACCTTCTACTAGCCCAGGTAGTTCAAAGCTGTATCCAACCCAGCCTTGAACACTTCCAGGGATGGGACAGCCACAGCTTCTCTCAGCAACCTCTTCCAGTGCCTCATCACCCTCATAGTGAAGAATTTCTTGCCAATGTCTAATCTAAATCTACCCTCTTTCACTTTAAACTGTTCCTCCTCATCCTATCGTTACTTGCCTTTGTAAAAAGTCCCTCACCAGCTTTCCTGTAGGTCCCCTTTAGGTATTGGAAGACTGTTATGAGGTCTACTGTGAGCCTTCCCCAGGCAGAACAAGCCCAGCTCTCTCAGCCTGTCTCCATAGGAGAGGTGCTCCAGTCCTCAGCATCTCTGTGGCCTCCTCTGGAGTCACTCCAACAGCTCCACGTCCCTCTTGTGTTGGGACCCCCAGAGTTGAATGCAGTACTTCAGGGGGGGGTCTCATGAAAGCAGAGTAGAGAGGTAAACTCACCTCCCTTGACCTGCTGGCCTTGCTCCTGTTGATGCAGCCCAGTATACGGCTCCCGTTCTGGGCTGTGAGCACACACTGCCCGCTCATGTCGAGCTTCTCATCAATCAACTCCTCCAAGTTGTCCTCAGGGCTGCTCTCAATTAGGTCTCCACCCAGCCTGTAGTTGTGCTTGGGATTGCCCTGACCCAGGTGCATTTTCCACATGATTACCTGTTGTTGAGCAGGCATGTATGGGAAAGAAGCTAGCTGTTTATCAAATGCTTCAGTCTGCTGAGGTATCGCCCAGTCACTATGCCACTTGGCCAATTTTAAATTAAGAATCAGCATATGAGATACTATTGATAGTGAAAATGCATACATGTGTCAGCAGGTTTGTACAGCCCCATTGGCTTTTACAAGACTGCTGTGCTCTACATTGTGTCCATGAACTGATTATGGGGATCGGGATCTCATGTAGGCTAGGATCAGCCTGCTGGCTGAACTGCTGGAGTTGAGCCACAGGATGGGCTGTAACAGAAGTAATCCAGTAGTCACTAGATGAGCACCTTATTCTTTCTCTGGTGAAGGCCCTTCTGACAAACTCTTAGTTCACTTCTGGCTCACATGAAACTTTTGAAGTGTAGTAAAATCGTTTCAGGAAGTAAGAAGCAGATTTCCTGCACAGACTGAGTAGATGACAGCTTGCTCAAGCATTGAGTCTTGGCACCTTCTTGAGAAAAAAAGACTTATTCAGCAAAGAAAGATACAATTTTCAGGATTCAAATCCTCATAAGCATAGTAATGAAACTAAAAGCAGTATGTGAAGCAGAATTAGACCTAACTACATAAATTTGCATAAGTCTAATACCTCATCATTGGGGTTGGGCTGCTTATCTGCTCTCCAGCTGAAGTTCTGATCAAAGTAATCACTTAACTGATTCTCAAGAGGGCCTAAGATGTGATGTTGGATTAAATGGTAATTTACACTATCTTGGGAAAGGTGTTGCCTGAAGCTACCGCAGTGCTTTACGGAGGAGGGTGTGTTTTGGTTGTGTGGGTTTTTTTGGTTGTTTTTTTTTTTTTAATGTTTGTTGGTGTGTCTTTTTTTGAATACTTTCCGTGTTACCATGCATTTATAGATTGGTGTTTGTTTAAGGAAGATTCAGTAAACTACTAAGATGTTTTATATTACAGCTGAGCAATTTGATGTTTCTTTCAACAAGTTATAGTTTATAAAATCGTGTTTATAACAACCTGGCTAGTTAATGCAGGAGGATGTCCATTTCTTAGGAACTGGGTGTGAAGAAACACTGTCAAAGAATGCTTTTTCACCTTTGAGTTGTTAATCACTCCTCCATGTCTTTAGGCCAACAGAAATATCCACCACATGGTGAAAGATCAGTCTATTGAGATCCTCCCAACAGATTGTTACAGATGGGTGTTGTGTATGTTTTTGTTACGAACCAATCTAATTTTCTTCAGGTAAACAACCACTAAAAGGGTTAGAACTGGTGCTGGCAAACTAACACTACCATCAGTAGTGCTGTGCTACTTCAACCAGGGAAGGATAGAGAGACTGTAAGTGATTTTATATGACCCTCCACCTCACTGAAGAATAAATATGAGAATGATATGGAAATAAAAACTCTCAAACATAAGACAGGGGGCTTGGATTTAGGACTGACAGTTACATGTATTGTTTTAAAACATGTTTTAAAATATACTTGAAACATGAATTTTAACTATAAAGGAAGAAGATACTTTGGGTTGTCCGCAGACACTTGAAATGTGCATGCCCTACTTGGAAAGAGTGTACTACAGAAATACTGTCAGCATCTTATCCTCAGAGCCATGAACACGCAAAGGGGGTGGAGACATCCACAATAATTCTCTTCCCAAAGAAGACCTAATGCAATTTACATACATAATTAGCAGGTTAAACATGAATAATATTCATTTTTTGGGGGGCTGGGCTAGGAAGAGAAACCTAAGCAAAAGATGATGAAAGCAGCTGCTGATTTAATGAGAGACTGAAGCTAGTTATACCGGGAGCTCTTATGAAGGGTGTGGGATCTAGTTGCTTCCCTTTTCCCAGTAGGCATCTCGAGCTGTTCTTGCAGAGGGATTGGAATACATTTCGTTCAGAAGTAGCTTGGGTGACAAACCAGCTACCATTCATAGTTACTTGTTTTAAATATTTGGTTCATGTTTTGTTTTTTTTTACCCTTTTCTCCTCCCTTTCTTTGCTTGTGAAACCTTCTTCCTCTCTCCCTCCTACCCTCCTCAGCCTGTTTTGCTACTTTCCTTTTTAGGCAACTGGAGGGTGTTATTGCAAAAATGACAAAGGAAAATGCTTGTGTGTTGTAACTTGTTCTGTCAGTCTCCTGTAAGCTGCTGTTCTCAGGTTTACCTCCTTGGGTTGGGTTTCTGAAGACAATTGTTTCATGCTATCAAGTGGAAAACATTTGAAGGAAATGTATCTAAAGAAAGAGTGATACTTTTAAGTTAAATATTAACCAGATTCAAACAAACTCAAGAATATTTCAAGTGAGGTTAACTTGTTGGGCTGGTGAACAAGAACGAACTCAAGCAGTGAAGAATAGGCATGGGGATACTCTATTCAGAGGTAGGTGACCCTTTTTTGCACAGTAACTGAAGCTATGGAAGATATAGATATTCACTGGGTTTGATTTGTTCCCTTTGCAACCTCCCATACAAGGCTTAAACAGATCTGGATGTTCTTTCCCTTTGGAGATGCTGTACTTCAGCTACTACAAATTGTCAAAAGTACAGTTTGTAGGAGTAAATAAAATGCAATAATCAGCATAACTATTGTGATTTCATGGAGAAAGTACGTGTTTAACACTTTTTGTTGTTCTGTGTTGAGATCAGAATGATTCTGAGCATGGTGCATACTTCACAAACTGCAAACAACTTGCTTGTGTTAAATATAGGTAATAGAAAGCTACTGCCCAAGGAAACACTCCCTCCCACCTGATTTCATTTTTAGCTCTTATCTTTATGGGTTTGTCCCCAGACCACGGTCCATTTAGTTTACCCCTGGATTTTAGCACAAATGACACCTAAATCTATTCATTATTTCATAAAGTTTCCGTTTGCACACTTGTGAGTAAGTGAGAATTTTGGTTCCATTCAACTGTGAATACAGTGGATTGCACTGTTGTTTCTTTTCCCGGAGATAGCATTACATAGCTGTTCCTTTAAAAGGTTACATTTCTGTGCTGAAAGCCACCCTTTCATTTTTAAAAGGCTACTCGATGAAATCAAGTGTCTTCTCCTTTTTCTGCGTTACAGGGAGCCTGAATCTGTGCATTCAGAAGGTGATGGGCTGGGTAGACTGTGCCTTGTTCTGAAAGGATTTGTTGCCTCTGCATGTCTACTACTCTGAGTTAGTATTTTACAAGAAAACAGTGTCAATTAGCTTAATTAAATTGGTGTTCGGAGAATGTTCAAATGCTGTCCATATCTTCCATGATTATTAGTTAATATTTCATTTTAAAAAATTTTGAATGAGATAGAGTTTTCTGGATAAAGTATGATTCATTTATACAGTATAGAAATCTAGAGCAACACATACAAGAAGGTGTACGATGCCTTTTCTGAGGAGCAGGGATTGGATACTAGTGCACTCAATATCATAATCATGATTCAGACTTTCATGTTCAGTTCTTGGCCTTTGGATCCATTTTAGTGCACAGAAAGAGACTATGGATTAGTTCAGAATATCTGGATGTTCTGAAGTAACTCCTTTTTGTCTAAACAGCTGCAAAGTGTTGATGCAATTTAGGCAAATCCCCTGAAGTTCTCAAAGGAGTAAGCAATTATAATCTGAAATTGTTCTCCCAGTTGCAAGACTGGCTTTACCTTACCCTCCTCTCTGTTGGCTGAATGCTTTGTCCTTAGTGCCAAGCCTTTAATCTTTATTTCACGTGTGGTAGAACTTGCTGAATAGCTTGAATAGTAAAGCTAAGCAGAGGGAGTTGCAAGAAGCTCTGGAAACAAGTAGACAAATGCAGACGTGTTCACATGGATCTGGGTAAACTACAAGGTCCTGTTTGCAATCCCATTGCCCTCAGTTGATAAAAAATAGAAATAATTAAGAATTCAGTTGTGTAGAGGTATTGTCCTTCCTGACAGCAAAAGTTCTTTTTACTTTTCTTGCACCCCTTATCTGGTGATCTCATACTGAGTGAACTCAGCCATAAAAACCCTTGCCTGTTCTCTGACTACTTCTCACCTTTCTTGAAGCCTCTATCTATTATTCCAGTTAAGTGCCTTCTATAACAGCTTTCTTTTCTTTCTGTGGGAAAGACTGCCTAATACAACATTTGCCACTGGTTGCAGCTTCTGATGCCTTTCTTACACAGGTGACAGATTGCCATGTATTTGTATTTTTCCTTATCCTTATTCTTTCCTGAAGGCTTTTTCCTAAAGTCCTATTGCTATTGGTATTAAAATAATGAGTTTATATTTATTTTGACTGTTTTTTGTACTTACTTAAATATCCTGCTACTATGTTAGCTCCTTCAGTCATGGAGTTGTATTTGTCAGTTTGGGAGGTATATTACAAGTCTGATTTATAGGACTTTTCATATTTCTTTGACTAAAAAAGGCATTTTCTAGAATGAAAACCAGCAGAGTGGGTCTCAAGAAAATCCTATAAACCCAGGAAAAAGTTGTGGAGTTTTTGTTTGTTTGTTTGTTGTTTTGTTTTTTTTTGTATGAATGAGACATATTAATATGTGAAAGAATCAATCCTACATAGACCCCCACCTGCAGTGAAATAATAATAATTAAAAAAATACTTCCAGTACATCAATTATTCCTGAATTAGCTGTTGGAATGGATGAGAACCGCTTCCTTACTTTCTTTGTACCCTGGGTGTTTTCTGGTTTCGGTGGCTAAAAAAGCATGAATGACTCTTGTGTGCTGGTCTCTGTGCATGACTTTAGCCTCAAATAACATAGTCTTTTAGGGAATGGTAAGTGCTGCACCATTATTAATGGCTCTAGAACTGGGTTCAACAGTAGCGTAAGCTTAAAAAGATCGCATGAGTCAATGACAATATAGGTCAGAAATGTTTGGGGTTTAAGGGCCTAGCAAGTTAAACTCTTTGAGGCAGAATAGAAAGAAAATCACAAAAGCACACCATTTGGAGACACAAGCTACTGAACTAGCAAGACTCAGAGTAGAAAAGGAGAAAATTTGTGTGGAAAATGGCTGATTTGAGCAGATGCTCAACCAAACAGCAAATCTGATTAATCTTTAAATAAGCAAAGCAATACTTAAAGGCAGGAAAACCAGAGGTGCAGACTGCACCTGATCTTGTCTTTCCTGGAGAAGTTGCACTATTAGACATCAACATGACAGAAAGTGAGGTTCTAGAGCATACTGATCATTTAGATGGCACCTGTATGCAGGTCACAACAAGAGTGGTTTAAAAAAAGGAGTTTCTCCTCAAAATCGTTAAACTGGTTCTGGAGGAATGTAAAATAGCAAATGGTATAGTAGGCTTTTATAAGAATACAGACAGATGTGCAATATTGCATGTATTCTTTGTAGAGTTTTGTCTGATAAAATAAAAACAAAACAAGAAGTGGTGTGAGGTCTGGTAAACTTGTAAATAATCTCTTTAGAAAGGAAAATCACTTCTCTGATGCAGCTGTCCAGAAGATTAAGCAGCAATGATGCTGGAGGTAAAGTTGTGTGGTAGATCAAAGTTTGTCTGAAGTGAAAGTGTAAATAAGATGAATCTTTTTAATGTGTGTGTGTGAAACCTAACTGCAGGCGGAGTGAGGAAAGAGCTTAGAGTTCAGGGTTAGATCTTGTTTATGTAGTGTATTTAGGATGTAATAAAAGGAGGATAGAAAGGAAAACCTGTAGATAATATTCAAAGAAAATGTGTATCTTGGAAACCGGTGAATAAAAACCTCAGTATCAAAGACAAAAAAGAAGAAACTCATTCTCTTTTCCACTGGAGAACTTCAAATGCTACCAGTCTGCTGTACATTCTTACAGGCCATTAGAAGCTCATAGTACTCTTGTCATACTCAGCCACTCCTCAGATTGAGTTCTTGCTGCTGGAGAGGGAAGGAATTGCAGAATAAGTGAAGGGTGCGTAGAAATAGTGAATAAATAGTTAAGCAGCAAATAGTTCTCAAAAGCCACACTGAGCTGTGGGCATACATGTGTGTATTTTTTAGGTCTGAGGTTTAACTTCAAGCCCTGAAAAGAAACATTGTGGGGGTTTGATTTTCAGCCCTTTGTTGAAAGTGTGGTTTTGTTCTGGGAACTGATGAGTGAAAAGTGATAGCTCATTCAGCAGTGTTCATCCAAAAAGAAAGCCTGTTGTAAATTTTGAGACGCATGGGCTTATTCGTGCTTGTTTCTTAGTACAGTGAATAACTCTGTAAGATTGGAAGACGGCGTTTTTTTATGTTTGCAAATGAACCGGATTTATTTCTTGGATTATATATCTCCATATATATATGGAATATGTATATTATTATGATCCAAAATGAACAGAAAGTTCGTTCCATTGTGCAAAGGCTGCGACTTCCCAGGCTGCGAGCTGCTGTGTGGCAGCTGCAGAAGTATCTCTTACCGCCATCTTCTGGAAGTCGCCTAGAACCACCTCTATCAAAAGTGCTTGGCAGCGCTTGCGTATTTTAGGATTTTCAAGTCAAGTCAGAACGGGAGGTAGGTATGTTTTAGTGAAATGTGTGCTGATTAATATCATCGTCTTTCTTCAGCCCATTTGTCAGGCAGCTTATAATAACGATTTCAGCGAAGTTCAGTCCCTTCTGGAGCGTGACAGCAACTGTCTGAATATCCGGGACAGCTTCAGTGGAGACACCCCATTAATTTGTGCATGTAAACAGGGAAACAACAGGATAGTTAGCTATCTTCTAAAAAGAAATGCTGATGTCAACCTCAGAAACAAGGTAAGTGGCCGCCCTTCTGTAGCCTTTCTTTGCCTCTCTCTTTTTCTCCACCCTGGTTAAAAGGAAGGTCTGAAGGACAGCCTGTCCATCTCTCACAAATGTGTGCCTGTGGAGAAACTGACTCCACACAAACCTGCCTTATTGCCACTGCAGACCTGCTTTTGTCATGCTACAGAACAATAGTATGACTCGTAATAGCATGCTGGGGGGCAAGGAGGGAAGCCTTCCCCTGTTCTTCCTGCGTTCCCTATTCTACACACACTTGTCATGCACAGGAGCTGTGACTCACTATTTTCCTTAAGGTGATGAGGAAGTGTGGTTCTGTGGTAGGTTACAAATAAAAAGTAGCTGAAAGGTGTGTGCTCTGGTTTCATTAGTAACTTATTCTTACAATGTTAGAGGTGATAAATAACCAGGGAAAGCAACCCAAAACTTTGTCAATTCTATTGTATTATCTCATACTCCAAGGCAATGCTTAGCAAGTTCCTATACATTTGTGGATGATCTTCTGTCTCTGGTTTCCGGTGCATTTGTATATTTCACAGGAAGGCAGGAAATTATCATGAGGTCAGTGGCATATTCTATCCCACCTCTTCTTCTTGATGCAAAAGGCTATCTTACCTCAAAGTCCCTTTGAAAGGGCTCAGAATTTTGCAGTAAGGTCATTTTAATAGCATTGGCAGCCATTAGATAGCTGTGCTTGCCTATCTTAAATGTGTCTTTGCTTCACCTTCACAGATGGAATCACTCCCTTTGATGCAGAGCTCAGCTATGGTTCTCAGAAATGAGAATGGGAGCAGAGGATAGCACAGAAAAGCTTTTCTGTTTATTTTGGCCACAGTGTAGCACTGTAACCTGGTTTGTCTAACTCCAGCATAACAACCTACAGGAGATTTAACACAAGTGGTCTTTAACACCCAGATTTACAGCTCTGCCCTTTAGTTGCTTTGGTACACTTGGTATTCACAGTTTTTTTTTCACTCTGCTCTCACTAGAGAATACAGGCAGGTATTGCTACTTGCCTGTGTTTCTCATGTGTGCCAGAGGAGATGCCATAAACTCTCATATGTCTTTGTTTCTGTAACAAGCACCTCTATAGGAAGAGTCACTGTGGGGATTTTTCCTACTGGTTTAACTTGCTGGGTGGCAGTAGCAGCCACATGTCTACTCTGCCCTCTTTCTCTGCAGCCATGTGCAAGTTTGTAGACATATATATGGAATCCTTTGGATCCCGCATCCTTCTTGCATGTGTAGCCCAATTTACATGAGCCTGTGTATGTTAAATGTGCTTCTGCTTAAGGAAGTAAAATACATGTGTCTGTTTCTGCTTGAAAATCAGAAAATATTTCCAGTAGATAACCTAAAAGAAAGTCTATGAAATATAAAATGGTCTACTATTGCCAATATTAAATAAATATAATCAGATCACTGAATCTGGTACTAATCAGAGTTATTTTGTGTTTAGAAGGACCGCACTTGTCTGCATTATGCTGTGAGAAAAAGGTTTACCTTCCTTGACTATGTGCTCATCATTATCCTCATGCCAGTGATGCTTATTGGATACCTTCTTATGGTGAGTCTGGGTGAAATGAGGAAAAACCCTGTACTTTTTCCTTTCCTCTTATCACCTTTCTCATGGCAATATTTCAGGCCAGGAACCTGTATAGGGTATGGACTGCTTTTTTAAAGCAAAGGCTGATGGAAAGCAACAGAAGAAGCAGGGATTTTGTCATGACTATAATTGGTGAAGCAACAGAACTGTATTACTGCATCGGTTTGGCATTTGCAGAAGCAAATTTCTTTTAGGAAATAATACAGCATTTAGCCATAATCTCCTTTGTACTGTATGCAGATGGACTGTCTTACAGTGCTACTCCTTCCCTTGCGCCAAACAGGTCTCGAAGACTAAACAGAATGAAAACCTGATCAAGATGTTGCTTAGAGCTGGAGCCGATGTTAACGCTACAGACTTTGTAAGTGGGTTTATACAAATGCAGATGTGTTTCTTATGCATGCAACAATACTAACAGACTTATAAATCTTCCAGCAACAGAATCCTGCTTTCAGAGTAAGATCTAGGACTGAACTGACTGTCATGCACTAGGAGGATTCAGTGTTTCTCCTTGACACTTAGGCAATGGTTTTGAAACGTACACAGAAATAATTCTCCACTGACCAACTAATTCTCCGTTTCTGATCAATGCCCTCTTAAAAGAATCCAGGCAAGACAGGCTGAGACACTTACATATTAAATACCTGATCATATAAAGATTCTAGTAATATAAGGGTCTGAGTTTATCATTATTTATGAGTTCTTGGACTGGAGCAGATATGAGAGCAAAGGCCATGCCACAGTGCTAAACCCTTTCTTGGTCTTCAGAGTGCATTGATCTGCCATTTGTGGAGTTCAGTATCCACTGTCCTACTTGGGTGTGGAAGTCAGCCCCCCTACTCTAAGGTAGAAAAGGATAACACCCAATTCTAGCAGCAACCAAGTTCTAAAAGTGAACTGTGAACAAACAGTATTGCTTAAGACATAGTCGTTGAGATCAAGATCATGGAATCCTCTGAAGTTAGTAAAGAACTGTTGGCCTCCTGCTGAAGATAACAGACGTTTTCTAGCAGCTGCATCCCAGGGAAGAAATGATTTTTTTTGTTCCTGTTGCTCTTACGCAAATGTATTTTGTTTGTTGTGTAGTGTCATGCCAGGAAATGATATGTCTTTTGCATCCAGGTATTGGGGGGAAGCTGCTAAAGCTTTGTAGTAGTACTTAGGTAGTTGTACTTACCTATGATTTACTAACGAAGTAATAGAACTAAAGTTCATCTGCTTCTGTTTCCCTTCAGTCAGGCAGCACAGCACTTCACTATGCTTGTAAAATGAACAACCAGGCAGTTATTCCTCTACTGCTTCAAGCTCATGCAGACACTTCTTTAAAGAATCAGGTAAGAAGGTGAATTTGATAACTGTATTTTCTTATCGTGATGGTGAACCAGTACATTGTAGGCTTTTGCTGATGTACAGCAGTTTAAAAAAAGAATGCATAGCTTCCTGTCGGCAGGCTTGTTTGCTGTGGGGTTTAAAGCAAAGGTTGCTCCATTGCCTTGTTGGCAAGAGCAATTGTAAAGTCCACATCCTTCACTGCTGGATTTCCACCAATAAACATTGCCTGGATGTCTACTGGATCTTCTTCTTAACTCAGAACTGCTCTGCAATTGTTCTTAAGATGCAGGCTGCAGGGGAGTGGCAAGAGCCTTCTGGGGTGCTTTTTGTGCCTTTGGACACCATTCGTCTGAGAGGGGCAAAGTCAAGCTGCTTCTGTCATTAGAAAAGCTCAAATATTATCCAGATAAATACTGACCTGGAAGTATCTGCATTATTGAGTTGAAGTGAGAAACGTACTGCCCATGTTTCTCTTGAAATCAGCCATTAGCTTGGCTCTGCACTGACTCTGGACATTAGCCCCAGGAAACAGTGGAATGGCTGTTGCTGCTGGAGGGGAGGACAGGATTCTGCCCCTGGCTTCAGTGAAAGCAGCATTAGAGCCAACATGTTCTGAAACCTCTGTTTTAGAGCAAGGGTGTGACAGTGAAACTTGTGCAGCAGAGCACTGAATCTGGGTGGCAAATTCAGGAAAGCTCTTTTTACTTGACCCATATCTATCGTATTGCAATATGTGTCATTTGTTTCTTTCAGGATGGTGAGACTCCCTTAGATATAGCAAGAAGACTGCAGTTCCACAGCATTGAAAGTATGCTATGGAAAAATTCCTAGTCATTGAGGACTCCTGAACATGCAGAAAATTACCTCATCTGGGGATCCATCTTGTGCAGCAGCGGGAGTCCTGCAGAGGGTTGAGGGCTCTTTCTTGATAAAGACTTGGTCCAAATCCACCCTTTCATTGCTGCAGACTTTTGAATATTTTGTGTGAGAGTTGTCAATAACCTCAAGGCCACATGCACTGGAAAGTGTTAATTTGGTGTTACTCAGCCTTGAATGATTACAGGAGTTCAAAATATTGCTCTTCTCATCTGCTTCCCCAGTGTTATGACTTTGCTTGTGAGGTCAGTGGATTTTGAAAGCTAACTTTAACATGGCTGGAAGCCTAATGATGATGGTTGGCAGCCAGTAAAAAAATAAAATGTCCTTTAGAGTGTGTGTTACTTATTCTGCAGGGTATACACTTGACAACTGAACAATGTGCCACAGCAGTTTATACAAAGGCTGGTACCTTCCCCTTAGTATTTCTCTTCTTACAATGGGAGTGATTTTTTTTTTTTCTTTTCATATAAGAAACAGCAAAAAGAGATTCTGTTCAGCCTGAAGAAAAGAAGGCTGTGTGGAGACCGCATAGCAGCTTTCCAGTATCTGAAGGGGGCCTACAAAGGTGCTGGGGAGGGACTCTTCATTAGGGACTGTAGCGATAGGACGAGGTGTAATGGGTTTAAACTTAAACAGGGGAAGTTTAGATTGGATATAAGGAGGAAGTTCTTTACTGTGAGGGTGGTGAGGCACTGGAATGGGTTGCCCAAGGAAGTTGTGAATGCTTCATCCCTGGCAGTGTTCAAGGTCAGGCTGGACAGAGCCTTGGGCAACATAGTCTAGTGCGAGGTGTCCCTGCCCGGTGGGGGGGACGGGGGTGTGTGTGTTGGAACTAGATGATCTTAAGGTCCTTTCCAACCCTAACTATTCTATGATTCTATAATTCAATGAGTTGCTGGAGACCAAAAAGAAAGCCAATTCACATGTTGGTTTAGTGCATTAAAAAAAAAAAAAGAAAAAATGTTTGGTGCGGTAGATAAACGAGTCTCTTGATCACCTTTCCATTATAAACAGTGTACTAAAGAAAAAAAAATCAATAAATGAATTGCTGTTGATGTATCCTCCCCACAGGACTGGACAGGATAGCATGCTTCTCAGAATGGTGCATGTAGCAGAGGATGCATGTACCCCAATAATAATAAATTCATGAGTCTTCTCTTGCCTAGGTGAATGCAGAAGAAAACCTGCAGTGGTAAGCATGTATTAATGTGGCCTGGCACTTTATGATTTAATAATATAGCAATTAGGGGAATCTCCTTTCAGATGCTGTTGTATCTTGCTTTCTTGTCTAATAGATCTTTATTTTTTGTTGATAGTTTTGGTAATTTCCTGTGAGCTGTCATAATTTCACAAGATGATAGGTGCCATCATCAGTACTGCTAATGACTGCTACACTAGGTACATGGACCAGCTAACGTATTTGTCCTGTGCTGCAGAACAGATATATTGTTCAGTGTAAGTATCCTATTGGATGCTGACTCCAAGTATAAAGGGTCTTGGTTGGGCAATGTGAGTTTGAGGTCCAACCCAGAAACACCCCAGGAAAAAAGCTACCCTTTCTGAGTCTTTAGCAATGAACACTTTGGGTGTAACCTGGGGACGGAAACTCCTGCCTCCAGACCAAGCTGTAGGTGAGCAGATGTGAGGCACTCACATGGGTAATGAAGATGCAATCTCTTCGGGTAATGGCTGGAAAGGGGAAACAGCTGACTGCTTTTGCATGCTGTAGGAATTGCTTGAACAAGGACAAGAGTTAAGACAAAGAGTTATTTGGAAGTTAAAGCTGATAGCTCAGAGTGCTTGCAACAACTTGTAGTGACAGGACAAGGGGTAATGGGTTAAAACTTAAACAGGGGAGGTTTAGATTGGATATAAGGAAGAAATTCTTTACTGTTAGGGTGGTGAGGCACTGGAATGCATTGCCCAGGGAGGTTGTGAATGCTCCATCCCTGGCAGTGTTCAAGGCCAGGTTGGATGAAGCCTTGGGTGGCATGTTTTAGTGTGAGATGTCCCTGGCCATGGCAGGGGGGGTTGGAACTAGATGATCTTCAGGTCCTTTCCAACCCTAACTGTTCTATGATTCTAACTTCATTGGTGGTGTCAAGAGTAACTCATAGGGTAGAAGCTGTATTGTTAGGAGTGCAGCTTGCCTGGCAAGTCTACATCTCCTTATTTCTCAACTGCCTCCATGGTCTTTGAAGCTGGGGGGTTTAGAGTGCATGAACAAATGTTTGGGTGACATCTAGGCATGGAGGGCAGGAAAACATTTCTACAAGTTTTTCTGACGTTGGATTTCTTGTTGTTTGGAAGTCATAGAATCACAGAATAGTTAGGGTTGGAAAGGACCTTAAGATCATCAAGTTCCAACCCCCCTGCCATGGCCAGGGACACCTCACACTAAATCATGTCACCCAAGGCCTCATCCAACCTGGCCTTGAACACTGCCAGGGATGGAGCATTCACAACCTCCCTGGGCAGCCCATTCCAGTGCCTCACCACCCTAACAGGAAAGAATTTCCTCCTCATATCCAATCTAAACTTCCCCTGTTTAAGTTTGAACCCATTACCCCTTGTCCTATCGCTACAGTCCCTAATGAAGAGTCCCTCCCCAGCATCCCTATAGGCCCCCTTCAGACACTGGAAGGCAACTACTGAGCTATTGCCTGATCAGTTACCTGTGTCTCAAGATCTCTTGACTGTGTCGATACTGTAAGTAAATGTGAGGAGGGAAAAAGAAGTAAAAAAAAAAACCCAGGTTTTCTGCCAAGTAGATAAACGCTTTAATTTAAGCAAAGGTCAGTTGTACTTCAACAAACAAATGAACAAATCCCACATTTTGGTCTTCATGGGAAAATACAAATTGGGCATGGAAATGGCTCTGTGGGGTACATAAGGTACACATGGGACCAACAGAGTTTAGCCTTAGGAAACTCAGTCTTGCAGTCTTGTAGAAATAAAAATTGTCCAACTTCAGTGATCTCTGCAGCGTGTGCTCAAGTATATTTATGTTTTCAGTTTTCATTCCTATACACCTCAAACTTCTCAGGAAGACAGCAGTCACAGTAACACTATAAAAACCCTCAAACTATGAGGAATGCAAGAAACAAGTGCAGGTAAATACTGCTATCCACTATGTGTGTCTCTGTGTTTACCTCTTCCCCAGGTTTTACCATTATTGCAAAACAGAAATTCTGGAGATTTCTGCTGAGTGAATCATGTGCATGTGATTTCAATATTTTGTCATTAGTTCAATGATTTTCCGATACATTTTGTCAGTTGCTTCAAGGCCCCAGATGAAATCAAGATGACCCCAAGAAGGAAAATGCTCGTGATAAAGGAGATTTTTAATCTGAGGGAGCAGCTTTGCTATGTCTTTTGGATCTGCAAATTTGTCCTGTCCACCACTCCAGACAGCAACTGGGGTGTTTATTTCCTCTATCTTGTACACAGGAGGAGAAGACTGTAAGAAAGGGAAGAGACTTGAGTGAATGCTGTTATAGCAGGGGTTGTGTTTAGAGGAAGGATTCTGTGCAAGCACCTTTTTTCCCTTCTGCACTCACTGCAATAAAACAGTAAGGATGAAGACCACCCTCTTAGTGTCTATTTCCCTAATCCTGTTCTCTGTTTACTGTGAAAAGTAATGATCCATTCTATTCCTGTGTCTTTCTATAAGATATGGCAGAGTTGTCTTGCCTGCTTTTGCCTTCAGAACAGATATGAAAAGAGCCATATCTGTTTATCAGTCAAGAACTCTGGAGCTTTTTAATGTGTGTATTTAGAGTGGGAAGATCTTTAAGTTTTGTTGGGGCACTGAGTGTAACTGTTGGTCTTATTTGTTATGCTTTGGATTTAAGTGTCAAGGAAATACTTTGGTCATTTATAATTTCACTCTAGAAATTTTCTAAGCTTCCCCAAACCAAGGTATGCATTTCACTTTTAGCTGTAAGAAAGATTTCTTTCCTTAGCTGAAAGGCAGACCTTGAGGATTTTGGGGACAGTGAAGAGCTCCATACTCATCCAGTTTTAGGATTGGCTGTTAGCCTTTTGGGAATGGCAGGTAAATTGACATGTCATTGGACACATGTCTGCATCAGTAGAACAGACAAACCAAACTTTCTTAGCTGTCTGCAAGGACCTGCCTATGCCTTCTCTGTGAATAGACTTTTACGAGTATGAAATTCAGGTGAAACATTACCTCAGACACTCTCTCCCTCTGTCTGTATCACCTACAGGTGCTGAAATGTGAATTCTTCTGTTCTTAGTTTTTTCAGGACCTGAGGATAGTTCTCAGGGAAACTGTATTGCCTTACCTGGTTGTACTTCTTCATATTTTCCTTAGAGCCATAGTCATAAGCTTGCAATTGGCCTGCAAGTCTTATCTGTCAAAAGAACAGATAGAAGTGTTGAGGGACGGAAAGGCAGCGTGCAGGAGGTATTTTCCTGCCTGTAATTGAAGCCAAGGCTTAGACAGTGAACTCTGAGTTACTCCCACCCCTTCCTCTGGCTGTAGGCTTCCACAAACATTGAGGGTGGATTGTAGGGTGAGTAGCTCCATCCTTTCCTCTTGCTAACTTTTTCTCCTTATCTCCAGTCACGTCCCTTGGTATGTTTTGTTATTAAATTTTCACTTGAGTACCTTGGTTAACTAAAGTTGGCAAGTTTGTTCCTGGAGTTTTCTCCGTATCAAGTCCCTGTTTGTGATGCACAGTTGGGTTCAGTTGTCACACAGGAAGAGGATCTGAATGTCTAGAACATTTCAGGTTTATTACTAGTTTATTACTAGCCTAGCAGAATATAAGACCTCTCTTTACGCCTCACGTGTTTTGTTTGTCAGGTTTGTCTGGCCTGTTCACAGAATTGGTGGCACTTGCAAAGGCTCTGTAGTTACATGAGTTTGGCTATGTATGAGTTGTGCCCTGACAGCAGTTTTGAGGTGGAACATTAGACACAGGCATTAGCCTTCCTGATCTGGTTGTCTAGAAGAGCTGCTATATGCCCTGCAGGACTGATGTTAAGAGTTAAGTACGCGTCTTTGGAGGATTTTTTTTTGGTTTGTTTTTTTGTGGGTTTTGTTGTTGTTGGGTTTGTTTGTTTGTTTGTTTCTCTGTGTGTGTGTGTTGGGTTTTCTTGGGTTGTTTTTGTTTTGGTTTGGTTTGTTGTTTTTTTTTTTGTCACATTATTTTGCACAAAAACAATTTTATTTGTGAGTGGTTGCATGTAATAAAGGATTGTCTGTCAGTTTAGAAAACCCTGACTGCAAGGCTTCAAGTACCTGGGAATGTGATAGAAATCTATTTGCTGTATTGCCTTTGTTATTTTCTTTTTATCCTGATCCTTACTGTCTGATATGTCCTGGGGAAATCCTAGTGCCTGATACCAAAGGGGCAATTCAAATAATGCTCTGGTGTTCCATGGGATACAGTGCTCCTTCTGGCAGGTGCCCATGGAAGCATGTGAGAGGATGTGATCCTCCAAATCCACCCTCTCTGGACTTCCCTTGTGGGTTGTTGGTTGCATAAAAAGCAGTAGTAAGAGTATTTATAGGGCAGTATGCAGTTATACCTGACGCCAATGGATAAAGTCCTGTGCTGATGTTCCAGCAGGAGAATGTCCTACGTATGTATCTATTCGACTCTGGAGAGAAAGCAGAAGTGTTATAAACACAGTGATCCAAAGTGTTATAAACACTGTGATAGAATAAAGATGTGAAGGACCCGAGCAACATACTGCTTCTGTGTTAAACCCCCATTTTAATAGGCTATGCCTCAAATATCAGACAGAAAACTGAGAAGCAGACTTAGGAATAGCTGTTTAATTGTATGCACCTGCACATTTTCTCCATGAAAGCAAGTCTGTTCCCTGAAGACAGTACTGTGGGATCCTGTGGTTGAGCAGCAGTAGGGAAAAACCTTCCAGTCCTTGCCAAGTAGATTCCTCACCTCACATCAAATTCCTATGAGTGTATAAGTCTTTCGAAGCTTTGGTTTTCTCTTTGCTTTAGTCCTAGTGCTAAAGAAGCCAGCTTACAAAACTGATTGCTTTTTCTTCTGTTTTTTTTTTAGTTCTGCATTTTTATAATTCTGTTAAGGAGATGTTCTAACTCCATCTCCCCAGATTCCTCCTCAGACTTGTTATCTTGCACTGAGAACCACATTAGTGATTTAACCCAAGTCAGGAAAGATCCTTAATGGTTTAGCTCTGCAATTCAAAGGGGCTGCAATGCTTCTAGTTGCTTTTGCATTGAACCTTTGATTCTCACTGCTTTCCCGTATATGCTTTTACAAGTGGTTGTAGATGGAGAAAAATGGTCCTCAGTCTTTACAAATGTTGCAGTAATAAACATTACACAGGCCAGCTTCTGCATACTTTGCCCACTGTAAGGGGAATTTAAGACACACTACAGCATCCATGTGTTGTTAAGCATAGGGACAACTCTCCTGTCTCTCCTGTCCACTCTGCCTGACTCGCTAATCTCTGTGAATCCCACTGTAGATATGTTGCACTTCACAGACAGAGGGGAAGGGCTTTCTGTAGCTCTACAGATTTTTTCAGATTAATTTGTTGAGCACAGTTCTAAGGACAAAAAAAAAAGGAAAAAAGGAAAATAAGGAAAATGGCCCTTACTATAGATCCTTAGGTCCAAGTTCTGGTACAAACAGTCTGAAAAGTGGGAAGGGAGAAGGAGCTTTTTCCTGCTTTTTAATTATTCCAGTGTTCAGAGGACCCTGGTGTCTGCACGCTGAAGAAGCAAACTGGGAACTGTATTACCAAGAAGTCTGACTCCATCATCCATTTGCTCTTTTTAAAGAGCATCTGTGTATGACCAAAACATGATTAACTTAGCCTCAAAAGAGTGCACATTTATTGACATGTGCAGTATAGCTCCAGATTGTTTTCTGTCCTTTCTGTGACTAGGATTTGCCTAATTGTTGTTCCCATCCGTCATTAGCTCTAATCTTGTTTGGCACAATGTCCTGGCATTCCCTCCATCTGCTGAGAACTATGTTGTGGTTTATATATGTTTACATTCCTGACAGTTACTAGATGAGGATAGAGCGCACAGATGTAACTTCTGTAACTTCTGATATCACCTCAGTTTTACTTTGAGTAGGTGTTCTTGCATATACATACCGTGTTCAAATTTTTTATGCTACCTCCAGCTACATAACAGAGTATGTGGCCACAAAACTTATCCAGGCTTGCACACAGCTGTGTCACAGGTCCTCTCAGAAAACCAACCTGGTGCATGGTTCCTTTGCAACCGAATAGTAACTGAGGGAAGGAAAAAGCACAATCACAGCATCACAGCACTTTTTTTTTTTTCCTTGTTACAGTAGTATTTTATGCATGAAACCGTTGCTAATAGCCTAGCCTCCTAACTCAGTACTCAAAGATTGCTAAAGAAGGTTGCCCTCTCAGTACCCCTAGCAACACCTTCTTCCCCATAGTGTATCATGTATCCTTCCTTCTTGTTACTGTCATCCATACTGGAAGAAACCATCCTCCATTTCTAGTGAAATGACCTCAGTGGTCACTCATTTCTGAAATCCCAGAGATTGTATAGCTGCTATTGCAGCTCTGGTTTAGTTCCTCCTGCATGAGGCCAGCAAAATATTAGTTGAGATCAAGTCTCCTGCTTGACTGGGACCTGCTGCTACAAGCCCTATATCTCCAGTATTTTCCTCACAGAGTCTGGGAACGTATTTTTTAAAAGCACTCAATTCATCCCAAGCTCAGCATCAGCATGCCATCTGTTCAGGAACACTTTGCCTCAGATTGGGTGAACCCTGTGAAGTTAAGTCAAGCCTTGGGACCCTTAGAGGAAAGAATGACATACCCACATCAGTGGTTCAGGAAGATTTGTCATCTTAACCAGAGGGCTTGTAGCATATGAACATGAGGTTACTGGGCCCAGAGCACAGAATATTTTCACCTTTTTAGCCAGCTCAGGGTATGTAGAAAATGCTATGAAGCCTGCAAGTGCATAAGAGACAGCCTGAGTTAGTGAAGACATCTTCCACAGACAAGATGATAAACAAATAAGTAGTAGGTAGCAAATGAGAAATTAGGCTAGATCTGCAGCCCATTGTCTGTTCATGATTGTCTGTGCTTCATGTTTTACCTAAGGCAAATGTTGAAGCTAAATCATGAAACGGATTTTATTGGGAGGCAAAGTTCATTCTGAGTTTTAGAGCATGTCTGAGTATGGCATTTATCAGAATAGTTTCTGTAGGCAACACGTCAATGAAATTTTTGTGATAAAATCAATTTCCCCTAAAGTTCAAAAAACTCTCATGAAAAATGAGTTTTTCATATTATAGTCTCTAAAGGTCTATGTATGTTCATGCTTCCGTTAAACTGCAGAATAATTAGCTGAATACGGGGAGCTTTGAATCTTTTTGACTGATTGCATCAAAGACAGCTGAAGAAGTCCTAGATCATTACTTTGTTTTGCCATGAGAGTCTTTAAGTAACTTCATGAGAGGAAAAGAAAGAAAAGGTCTGGAACTGTGACAATATATGATTTTCCCACATCTCCTTCTCTTGTCTTCTGGGTCATTTCACATGAATGAACTGGCAGTTGCTCATTTTCTAGTCAATGTCCATTCACAGCTCTTAAACTGTAAACATCAGGAACTCTCAACTTATTCTAAGAGAAAGTTAGTTACATTCAGAGGCCATGCAGTGAGTCAATGCTAAAGGCTGGCACCAAGAGAAAATAAGTTATTGACACTTTTTTCCTAATGTTCAGTCTCTGACAATATTATTTTAAACAGTAATATTGCCAGTTAAAGCAACTCATAAGCTATGCTTTAAATTTTAACATTGCCATTAAGTCACATGACTTAGTAATGTTAAGGTTCTTTTTCCTTGTCTCGTTATTTGAAGTCCTGTATTATATTTTCTGTTTTATCTTTTTAGCTTATCCTTCCTGTTCACAAAGGAATTAACTGAATGTTTTAATATTAAAGAGGAACATAAAAATTCCTGTTGCTAAGAATTTAAGAAAAATACCTGAAGTAGACAGTAAATAACTACTCTCATGTCTCTAATTATATGAAAAGTTGAACTGTATTTGGGTCTACTATTGGGTTTCTTTGCTTATTAAGGGTAGTCAAAGCTTGGTTTAGAAAAGTTTTGCATATTTTCTGAATCTCAACTCAGAAGACACTTCTATGTTTGCTAGCTCTCTATAAACAAGAAAAACAACTGAATCAATAGGGTGACCTACCTCCTGATCATATATAAACATGCGTGGTTGTGAACCGTGAGTGTCCTGACATTACCTGATGCTGCGCCTTCAGAGTGACCGACATAATATACATCCTTCTGTCCAGTTTTATTCATGATGAAGTACAGCTCTGCTGGAATGTCATATTTACCCATTTCATCGAAGCTACAGAGGAGAAACACAGAATGTGAGCAGGCAATTTAGCTATCACAGTGTGAATTACTGAGTATTCCATTTTGTTTCCCAGTCTGAAATCTCTTCCCCAGCCAATGCTTTCAACACTGTGTAGTAGTGAGCATCCTTCTTCATCTGGCTCTTTACTCTCCTTGGTTGGTGTAAACTCTGTTCTGGTGTTGGTTTAGGTAAAAACCTTCAGGCTGAAGCTATCTAGTTCCCTCAGAGTTTTTGTCTGAGTAATTTTCCCTCTACAGAGTACCTGAACTGCCAGAACTCCTTCTGGCTGGGATTAAGGGTCTTGTGTTTTAAAGACCAAGTATTCCCTCGGCTGTTTCCCATCCAGACATCATAGCCAGCATCTGCGAGGAGGAAGCCCAAGCTGTTGTTGGGCAGGTTAGAAATCCAGTGTGTAGCATCTCCTAGAAGAGCATGTTGTAGGAAGACTACAGGCTTTTGCCCTGGAAAAGAAAAATATTCTTATATTGGAGCAGTCGTTACTGTGTATTTAAGATTGGTTTATAAGAGGGTTTAAATCTTTCCTTCTTCAAGAAGCTCCCAGGAGAACTATGCATAGATATTGGTCGGAGAAACCTGAGGGGTTTGTTCCATGTAAGCAGGAAACATTTAATGACATTTTATAACAATTTCATGACAGGACTGTCAAATAAGGAATTTAATGAGGAGGCCTGTCGCCAGCTCCTTTTGTACTGGAAAGCAAACTTACAGGTGCCTATATTGAAACCATATATCTGCAGCTGAAAACTGCTGAAGGCGTATGTGTTTGAAATACAAACATTAATTTTTGGTATTTGTAAATGTATTTTGTAAATACAAATAACGTATGAAAGATAAGGCAGCGTATCTACCCTTAGGTCTGTTTAGTAGCCAGCTGAGCAGGGTTCCTGATCTAACTTTGTTAACCTTACTCTGACAATGAGGCTGGTCCAGATGATCTCTGAAGGAGGAGATCCAAATAGGAGTAGGCATTCAGAATGAATTATTCTATAGTTCTAGTAAGGAGTAATAAACAAAATAACATCATTGGGGCACCTTAAATTCCAGGTGGAAATTCTTTCTCCATTCAGAAAACATGATGAAAAAAAATGAAAGGCATTTGCTTTTCACTGATGACCTTATCAACTTGCTTAAGAATATCTCTGTCCTTCAAAGGCTAGGAACTAATAGTCATATGCCAACCTGAGAGACTTTGTTGTCAGGCTTCTATTTTGAATGTATGTTACTTAGAATGCTAATGCAAAACCTTCCAAAATCCAGTTTAACACATCCTCCCCAGCCCACATGAAAGAACAAACCTGTGATGTTACAAAACTATTAGAAAAGTCTCAAATAGGAACAGAGACACTGAATGCATGGATTTCAGATGGATTCAGAATTCAAGCCAGATTCCTGACTAGGTGGTCTTGCTGAGACTGAAAGGTGTGGAACATGTCACAGCATGTGCAAAGGAGAAAGATGGGGGACCCATAGAAGGGTTGACCCTCAGGCTTTCTCCTATTTTTCCTCCTCCCATCCTATGACTGTGTCATACCTGTATTTCGGCTGTTCCTCCCAGCAGGAATTCTGAAAACACTAAGAATGTACCCATCCTCTGTAGTAACTTCGTGTTTCTCACTGGGGTATCCATGATATCTGATAATTTCACTCTGTGAGAAGCCAAAGGAGAGTTTGTGAACATGCAGGTTGTCCTGTTTTGGAGGGTAACCAAGCTGAGCAGAGTGGATGTGGGCTGTTCTGAGACATCAGTGCAAGGCCCCTGCCACAGGGACCATGGCTGAGAATGATTATTACAGGTCTTGTAAAAAGATGCACCAGAGTCTTCTTCAGTCCTGCTTAAGTGGTAGTTGTCTGGTATTCGACAGCACATTATGGGATGAAACAGGACTGCACTGAGTGACTAACTTTTTGGGAGATAGTTTGTCCTGTTTTGCAAGGCTGATACAGATCATACCTTTCTATAAATTAAATACATAGGAGTGTTGATATAAGACAATGCCAAAAGCTGTGGGTTTTGGTCCATAATCAGTCCTTCCTTGCCCAAGTGTAGTTAGGAAAGCCAAGCAGGCAAGACAAACAAGGGTGGAGCTCTTGTCACTAAGGAACTCATAAGACCACCTACACCTAATTTTGCATGTACTGTGAGGAAATTTTTGGTGATTCAGAGCAATGGGTCTTGGATTACTTTGTGTAATGAGAATCTGCTACTTGAAGAGGGAATTCATCCTCCCCTGCCACTATACTGAGGAAAGCGGTTGTTACAGAAAGGGAGGGCTTTGTTTTGAGACTAGAAACCAGCTTTTGCCTCCGCAGCAAAGGAATTCTTCTCTGGCAGCTTGGACTGTTTAGATGTTTCTTCTTAGCTGGTGCTCCCTATCATAATGCTGGAGGATCTTTGTCCTCTTGCCAGGTTCATACCTTCCCTTCTTTGTACGGCAGCCAGAAATACCAGTGTGTGTTGAGAAAGGTGACTGCAAAAAGGTGTCATGAGGCATCGCCCAGCCTTGTGTTCATCGTTTTTCTGTTGGGGTTCACCCTAAATGCAGACAATGAAATTCAGTTGGTATGGAGTGGAGAGTGTAGTCTAGCTTTGGTCACAGTCCAAGGCTGAGTCCTGTTGCGGGAGTCACAATACAGTAGCCTGGATCTCTAGTGAGTTACCTGTCCCTGGAGGCAAAAGTAGCAGCCAGCACCCTCCATTGCAGTGTTATGTGTCTGTCCTCATGCCATATGCAAGAGTCACATCTGTCCCTGACACATTCATAGCCAACTCTCATTGCAGCGCTGTCAGTAATGCAGTGGTTTTAGAAAAGGCAGGTTGGGAAAACAAGAAATGCAGAAGGGACATTTTTTAGCATCCTCACTGGGACTGTTAGTGATTAGGTATTTGGAGAGACACTTGAGAAAGAAAGAGAGAGAAAATGACCCAACTTACAACATTCATAAGGGATTCAGGGTTACGAGTCTTCCTGAACTGGCTTTCATCTGAGTTCAGAGTGGAGGGTGTTGTGAATCCTGCTGAAAAGGCAATTGCTTGAGAGCAGAGCAGCATGAGGAGGCACCACATCTTGGGGCTGAGTGAAAGAGCACATGCAGGGTTGTCTGCATTAGGAGAGGCATGGAATTTCACAGGAAGACACAACTGGGGAGTTGAAGAAGGTTGCCTACAGTCTGTTCCCCAAGGGGCTCCCAGAATAAGTACCTTTGTGAGGAGGCACTCTCTGCAGCTCACCCTGTTCAACAGGCAGGGCTGCAGAACAGATGAGGAAAACACTTTGACATACCACACGTGAACATGCCTGAACACTCTGCAGGTAACAAGGGAGCTGTGATTGGCAGACAGGGCAAGGTGTTGGCATGAATCTAACAGAAGCCTGACAAAGAAGCATGAATACTTGAGATGACCATCACTCAGATTGCCTTTATCTGCCTCCTCTTCTCTGCCAGCAGGAGAAGTGAAAGGAGAAGAAAGCACTGTTTGTTTCCTGTCTCACCAGGAATGAGGTGAGAGGTCTCTTTCTACCTGCCCTCTCCTCCTTTGGGTTCAAATGCCATTCTTGGTGCTGGTCAGTGGTATGCTGCGGTGAGGGACAGTCAATGAGGCTTGTGACAGCTGCAAAGGCAGTTATACAGGGACTCTGGGAAGAGATGTAATGGGCTTAGGGCACTATGCTTGCACCAGGTCAGTGCTAGCTTGTGCTTTCACTGTGGGGTGATGTGCCCCAGACCAGGTTCAAGTTCTGTTTGAAACCAGTTCCTTTGATAACATGAAGTGAGCAACGTCCCCATGTGTGGTTCCCCAGAAGCCCCGTAAGTCAATTCCCTGTCAGCCTTGCCTTTCAGATTGAAACTGAGTCATCTAGGTCTCCATTTACCAGCCCCTCAGGCTTCTTCACTAGCCCCTTGCTGCCTGCTTCTTCTGTTATCCCCAGAAATTGCATTTTTCCTGCTGCTGCTTCTGCGTCCAATGTTTCTGTCTCAAAATCAATGGCTACTACCAGCCAAGAAACCATGGAATGGTTTAGTTTTACAGCAGTGAACAGTGGAGCCCGAGACTGACTTCATGTTGCCAAGGGCTTACCTCCCATATTTCTTAGAAATGGCAGTCCATATTGCAAATCTTGTATTGGTCATGGGAAAGTGAGACCTTGCCCTTTCCTGGGTTGACTGGTGGTACCAGATTAGCTTCTCTGAATGCAGAGTGCAGTCTATCTAGCACCAGGTTATGCTGACTTCACCTACAGTATACATGCTTCCAGGTTTCAGTCTTTATTTTCCAGAACCCAGTCAATGAATGCGGGAACACTTTCTTTGCTTTCAACACACAAACGTTGACTTAGATGCTCCTTAGAAAATGGAAGAGAAGGTTCTGCAGCCCAGAAGGTTACTGGGTGTGGGACTGTCAGTTAAAAACTCTTGAAGAGCAGTAAAAGCAGTCCTTGCCTACAAGAGAGCTGCAAGTAAGTAGGATAGGAATTTTCTATCCAATCTGACCAACTGTACAAAAATGATTCGTACATGAAGCTCAGGACTGTGCTTACACATTCTAGAAAAGCCATTATATATCTAATAGTTGTTGTATGCTGTGCCTGCATCAGTGAGGAGAGAATGAGGGCTGCAAAGAGAAAAGTAGCGGCCATTCTGCATGTGGAAAAAGACTGTAAAGATCAGGCAGGCTATATAAATGTTCAGCAAGACAATCCATGGGACGAAAGGGTCAGGGACAAAAAGGTCAGGTAATGCAATGTAAGTCTCCAGCTCATCGAGGCGTCTAGTAAAATTGCCTCACCAGTAATGACTGGGGACATTACTGCTTTTGTAAGCTTGGTTTCCTCAGAAGAAGAGGGCACACTTCTATGACTGCAGTGTGTTTATGTTAGTTCACCTTTCTGCACATCCTGTAATTAACTCTGGATGTCATTTGTAAATATCTGCCATGTTCAGCACTGAGATACAAGCTTGTAAGGGAATGGATTCACAGGATCTTCTGAGGACTGTTTGCTGAAGGAGACTATTCGATGGAGTTAGCATGTTGCTGGGGGAAAGGCAGGCCAAAGACAGCTGTTGTATGTTCTGCAACTAGTTTAACAGTCAGCAAAAGTGAACTAGACAACTAGTCAGTGTCCATGTAGCTTAAAAGTAGTCACAGCATGGCTGGGCATTGGTGTTTGTGAGAGAATGTCATAGGAGACCTGCCTTTACTATAGTTTGCATTAGGAAGTTAAGCAGACTACGTAAACAAGTTTTTCTGAAACCAGGCATTGCTAGGTCCATTAGACATGGAGAATCCAATGTTTAAAGAAGAACAGAGGTTTTCATGCAGCCACATGTTTCTGGTGTCTGCTTCTAGCATAAGACATCTGCTGTGAGGAGACATGCTGTTCTATGAAGTGTATTCTGACTTGAAAATGGAGCTACAAATCAAGATAAAATAAGAAAGTATCCTCTGGTAAGTAATGGGGAAGATGAGCAGGATTTGTGGGAGTTAGGGAGGGGTAACCAAGATATTTTTGCACTCTTTAAGTCTCTTTATAGGAAAAGGATTTTCAAATTTTTCTGGTATTTAACCAGAAATTTAACCTTTAAATTTGACTGAAGAAATTTAAAAGAATCAAACCTCATGAGTCATTGGAGAGTTCGAATGAACCAGTGTTTGGGAACACCCAGAACTTTAAATTTGGCAACAAAACACACTGCATTCAATTCTCTTTGTATATTAAATCCCTCTTAATTTCTGTTGTCAAAACAAGAAGTCTCACAACTACATAGACAGCCAAACACTCTTTTTAGCTTTCTGTTGTTTTACTCCATTCTAATGGCAGTAAATTATGCTTCCCCCTCCCTCCACAGGGAATCTTATTTTGGCAGAAAAAGTTCTGCTAATATCTCAGCTTGTTTTCAAATCACTTTCAAAACTAGTCAATGCAGTGCAGAGGCTAAACTATTCCTCTCGTTAAGGCAAACTTTTCTCAGTGCCCTTTAATATCACCTGGCTTAGCTGGCATTGCTCATGGACTTCCAGTTATTTGCCTTTTAAACAAGGTATAGTGGGCTAAGCAATATCAGTCTTGGCAGACCACTGCTCCCTACGGTGCAGGAATAAAGACAATTAGGAGATGTGAGCAACATTTTATCTAGTGAGATGGATGGGCATGTTAAACTGTCATTAAAGAATGCTTAGAAGTTAAAAAGGTCAGAGAGAGAAATGCCCTTGAAAGTTCGTTATGTCTTTTTAATAAAACTAAGATAGAAGCCCTCCAGAAATTTATCTATCTTTGTTCTTTAAGCAGTCTAAATTTATTTCATGTAAGTTGTAAGGCATGCACACACCAACCAGAGAAGCAACTGTGACTGAATGTATATGAGAATGTACTGCCTTGCCCTACTCACAAAACATGCATGTGCATTACACTGCAATAGCAGGAGGTTCAGTTTACACACACTGTTGCAACACTGAGACTTTCATTCCCTTGTTCTCAGCCTGAAGAAAACAAGCTGAGGGAAATGAAATAGTTGCTCTTGTTCTTCCTTTTGTGCAGGTTAAACTTCTTTGTCTTCTGTTGTGAGCCAACAAGCACTTCTGTGTATACCAATAGGCATATGGATCAGAGAGGCAAAAAGCTGTCTATTCTTACAAGCAACTGCACAAAAACAAGACTGAATGTCTTTATGGAGACAGGCAACAGAGAAAAAAGGCATATAAAGACATATGTACAAGCAACTTACCTCTGTATTGACTGCCTTGCTTGTGTCCTCTGCCTCAGTTCCTAGTTTGTCTCCACTAGCAGACTGATTCACTGGCAGAAACCTGCGCTGATAAAAGGAAGCCAGAACACAATGAGCACTTCAGGGTAGCAGCTGTCAGTGTCATGAGTTGGCAGCATGTATTGTAGAGCTTGTTTAAGTGCTGCTTTGGCAATGTTTCAGAAATGGGGAAATCTTTGAGATGAAAAAGATATTCTGGTGAAATTCATGACCCCAAAATGAGCCATGGAGCAGGAGATTTTAAGAAGTACCTACAAATCAGTAATTAGGATGTTTAGCTTGTACCTGGGTGTTCCAGTTCCCTGAGGCTGTGGCAGACCTTGCCCTGTACTGTCATCCAGCTGAGGGGCTGTTCCAGATGTAATCTTTTCAGGATGAAGAGGAGGAAGTGTCCAGCTTCTTTCAACATACACTTTCAAGAGCACTGTCTCTGCTATTGTTTTTCATTTGCTTTCTGTTAAGTTTAACATTACAGACTGTCTTGTTTTTCAGTGAGCAGCACAACTCATGAAACCCATCATTCTACATTAGTCGCTCAGAGTTGACATGGCTTCTGTAAGGATACTCTGGTGCTAAAGAAGACTTGAAAACATAACTTTTCTCTCTGAGGGAGCAAACACGGGTTCTCGCTTCTCCAAAGCCATTTTCATCAACTCTGAAAAGATAGTATCACTGGAGATCTTTGCCTAACTGCTGAATTACTTACAGACAGCCTGGGGGCTCAGTCTTCACTGAAACTGGCTTAATAACCATGGGCAGGACACCTTCTGTGTCTTTAAGCTAGCTACAAAGCAGGATTCTCCTATGTGAGGAGCAGCCTTTTTAGCCAATTAATTGATAATTGTCTTCAGAAGATCTTGTGTTTCATTATGGACTGATGAACATTTAGAAGAACACCAGATGAAAAGATGTGTTCTTGGAAGTAGCACTGAAAAGATGTGTTCTTGGAAGCAGCACTGAAAATAATATGATGCCGTTGGGTGGTGGGGGGAAGGAAAGGAGTGAAATAAGAACAGGATATCAGTGAAGCCACAGTGACACTTCTGTTTTACATATAAAGTAGACAACATTTTTTGCGATGGTGAAAATGTAGTTTGGTAATTTCTCAGTGAAAAGGAATGTAACTCATCTGCTTTGATGTCTTTAAGTGACAAACAATAAAACAATCACCTTGAAGGGCTTCTGCAACATGATGTCTAGTCCCTCCTCATGTGTCCAGGTGGGATCAGCAGTCCCCATGATTTTTCCAAAGCTCCTTGCCTAACCTGATTCTTACTGTTTTTCCAGAAAATTCAACACCCTGCCTCCCTTATGGTTTCCAAGGTTGCAAAATAGCTGAATGGCTGAAATCTCTTTCTTGGGTGAATTTAGGGGTTGCTCTGGCTTCTTTCAGATATATTGCTGTTTCATTTCCCATTTTAAATGTGGAAACTTATAAAGTAGGTCTTGAGTCCTCACGTGTTTCTTCTACAAGCAATGAGTTAGTTGAAGGGCTGACTTTCTGGAGGGTATTTGTCCCCAGGAATTTGTATTGGATGTAAGGAATGTTCTTGTCTGGAGGGGAGCTGTTTTGTTTGGTTCAAACTCTACTTACATTCATGGAGAACAAAGCGATGGGATAGGCTTCAGCAGTGGGCTCAGGAAATGAAATAGACCTGTTGTTTGTCTTGGAAGGGAAAGGAACAGAAGTGATACCAGGCATGGTTAATTTGTTCAGCTAATGAACCATATCACAGAGTGAGACATTGACCCTTTGGTTATAGAGTATAACCAGTTTAGTGTAACAGATGTACCTGCCCTGGTTAACATCCCAGATTAGTCCATATTAACATTTGATTCAAATGGAGAATGATGGTGTCACTCTGAAAGGAAACCCCTAAATGCACTGTGTTTCTTTTCATAGTGAAGCTAATGACATCTCATTGTGGAGGGACAGTGAACCATGATGGTGTAACCTAATAACCATGGAGGGTATCCTTCAACGCACAGTCTTTGTGCAATAAGTACCCATTTGAAACAGGATTGGTAGAGCCAGAGTTACCCAGGAAATTAAATAGGATGACAATTTCTTCAGCACTGTTTTCGAAGCAGCCCTTCCCACTAATGAGCAAAGGGGTCTAATTACACAGGAGATGGAGATAACGGATTCTTTCTGGCTGTGGTTGAGTACTTTTCATTTTAGCGTTTAAAACCCAAAGAGGCTTCTCATAGCCATGATAAGGGTTAGAACAGCTCAGCTCTTTGGCAGCCAGTAGTTTCCGTGTGAAATGGCAAGAGATGGGAGGTTCCTGCTGGGTTCAGAGGGTAATTTTGAACCAAAGTGTCCCATTGAAGTGCTGGCATTGCCAAGATGAAAGCAGCTCCTTTCTCCCACCCTGGAAAGCTCATGTACACAGATCCTGAAGCTGTTGTCAGCAAAGATTGAATTTGCCAAGATTTTTCTGTGTTGAAGGAGGGGACAGATATTGAACCCAAGTTTTCTATCTTCCAAGTGCATGCTTGAACCATGAGACTGACTACTGTTTTCTGCTGCGTCTACCCTCCCTGTGTCCCTCACTCTTTCTCATGAAAAAAGTGAGCAGCCCTGTTTCAAATGAAGACAAACCATCATCTTGTCAGGAGTGAGTTTTTTGGTGTGAACTCATTTTTTACTTTCTGTTCATTGTCTCATCTAATAATAAAATTAATCAATACCATAACTGCTAGAGTTAGTCTTGGCTTACTTTGCAATAACTGCAAGCCCCATAAACTGAGAAACAATACAAAAAATGGAAAACACCTTGAACTCTGTGGTGTTCACATATCCAGAGAAAGTCAGTGCTTTCACTATTGTTAGGGTTTAAAGAAGAAAGCAGGCTGCAAAAAAAAACCTTTCTTCTGTCAGCAAAGTACAGTTATTGCAGAATGAGGATGTACCAATTAAAAAGTGATTACTGATCCACAAGGTTACCAGAATATATGAAGTGCATCATCAGGATGCAAAAGGCATTGCAGTGACATGTATTGGGAAATTAACATCAGGAGGAACCCATTCTCTGACTCCAACAGAAACCATCAGATGCAAAGTGTTGTGTATACTCAGTGAAAACAAGCGTCTTAGCATGAATCAGGTATGGCTACTGGTTGTGGGTTAAGCATTCTTCTGCATCAGATCAATAACTTCATTGTACACGTGCAAAGGTGCATCCAATCCCCAGATGAAATCCAGGTGTGCCCATCCAGGAATCCTTTTGTGGTAGATGAGCCTTTTAATTTGAGACAGTAAAATGGCTGCATCCTTGGGATCTGCAAGCAAGTCTTGCCCCCCAGTCCATACTGCTGTTGGTACAGTCATCTCTTCTACATTGTAGAGAGGAGGAGTAGCCTGAAAAACATGAATAAATACAGGAATGGATGTCTAGGAAAGCACAGCAAACTTTAGACATGCATTTGAGGTTTCTTTTTGCCAGTGTTCAAAGTAAAGGTGCCTAAACTAAACAGGAAGAAATTCCCTTGATTGTCTTTTCTGTCTGCTTGTAGGGATGGCCCAGCTGATAACACAAAGGAAAAAAGCCTCCTGAGCTGATAGTGTTACTGTTGGTCTTTGCTCTCTCAGTTAGGAATTCACAGGACAGGAAACTGCAACAAGATAGAAAATGTCAGGATGCCTCTATAAACCCTCATCTTGGTCCTTTTGAAGCACTGGTCAGCCCCAGAAGACTTACATGGTCTAGTTAGAAAGCACATGTGACAAAGTTGAAAAGGAGTCTGGAATAACAAATAGTTTAGGACTCCTGGGTTTGGAAAATAGAGGACAGAGCAGGTTCAAGTGATGGCATTATATAATCACAAATGGTATTAAAAAAGAGCACAGGAAGGAATCACCCTATTACTTCTCATAACACAAAACTTAGAAATCATCCAGTGACTTTCCAGGGGCAAGCAAATTCAAGACAAACCAAAGGAAGTTGCTCTTCATGCGAGCTATCATTAAAATGTGTAACCCATAATGACAGGCTGTTGTGGAGACCTAAAGTGTAGGAGGGTCAAAGGACAGGATTAGACTCTTGAATTGAGGACAAATTCCTTATGCCTCTGGCTTCCAGAATCCAGGGTAGCTGTTAGCTCTCCAGTTGCCCTCTTCCTAATATTGTTCTCTTAAGCACTTATACATTGGCAACTGCTTTGATCATGCTAGTAGGCGAGATGCCTCTTTAGTCTTATCAAATAGATGTACTTTTCTTTTTTCAAATTCATTATTCTATCTTTCCTGCCCTTATTTCTTTTTATTCTTATTGATAATTTTTTAATTTAAATGTTTCTGTCTCCCCTCACCCCCCCCTCCCCTGCTTTTTTTTTAGTTGATTGTTGCCATTAGTGCTTGCATGTTTTCTCTGTTGAATTCCAAACTGGAAGGTAGTAATACTTCCGTCTATATGTATTCTGAAAATGTATCCTACCACATCCTTGCTCTCTTCATGTGTGCTTCTGTGTTGTCCGAGTGTTATAATATTATTTCACCAAAATATACCTGTTGGTATTTTTCCATGTTCTTCTTTGAACTGCCCCAGTCATAAGCTTGGAACTTCCCTGAATGGGCTTCCTAAGAGGAAGAACAAGAGAAGGGTAGTTACAAAGCCATCGTATAAGAAGTCTGTGGGTTCTTTCCCTGCTGAACCTCTGACTCCAATCTAAAGCCTCAGCAGAAGTTCTAAGAGCTCTGAAAAAGACAACATTAAATTAACTAAAAGTCTCAATTAGTGAAAAGGCGTCAAATGTTTTTGTTACAACCAAAACTACCATGGCTCCTGCCCAGAAAGGTCCAGGGATGCCTTTGCAGGCAATTTGTTCCAGTACTTGTTACTGCTGCTGTGTCTTTTTCTGAAAGTCATGTTACCATCACTCAGCTTTGTGAGGGACTCCTTCTTATGTTTTTTCTTCCCTCTCTGGTTTGAATAAAGAAGTTCTTGCCTTATGTTCCTTGGCTTTGCCTACAGTGTGGGTTGTTATTACTGTGAGAGACACCATCAATGGGATCTTAACATTGAAGGCAAACTGTTAACTCCTTTAATAGTAAGAACAGCAATGACAGTGAAGGCTTAGGAGTATTAGTCCTGCATGTTTGTGCTTGCCAGTCTGTGGCTAGATGCTGAATTAAACCTGAACAATTTGCAGAGCTTCCCCCATTACACTTTTGCAACCCTTTTTCTTTACAGGCCTAGGATGGTCACAAAAGCAACTTAATCAAATCTAAGATTTTATGTAAATTCACAGCCAAAAGTATTCTTTGATTTTGAGTAAATGCCTGTGCAGGTGTTACCCAGACTTATTTGTGCTGTGTTAAAAAGTGCATTAAAGCTCTTGCAAGCTCACTGTGCTTGCAAATGCTTCCTGCTTTGCTCCAGAGCCTGCAGTGCTGCTGGGAAACCTGTCCTGCATGCAGCAGCTTCTGTGACTGAGCCCAGACTTTATGAATCATGAAAGTGTGAAACCAAAGCCTGAAAGGCAGCTTTCCTCAGCACTGCTGCTGAGGATGTACTGTCACAGTACCTTGTAAGTAAAGCACATAACAAGTGTACTGAATAAAGAGTATACTATTTATAGTACTATTACTGCTCAGACATTGAGAGCTTTGGAAACAAGTGATGAAAATACAAGGGCTTTTACCAGTAAAATCCAGTATTTCACAAAGCAGCCTATGTCTTGCTCATTTCTTGACTCCAGATTGGATACATACTAATTGCTTAAGGTAAAGCGTACAGAACTGTGGACATCATTTATAAAAGGTACTAGACACACAGGAGGAAGAAAGATATATACATCTGTATACACAGCTGCCAGCATACATGTTTTTACAGAAATACCATGTTTCATTGTTGGCTTCAAATGTACCTGAATCACATAGGGTACTTCTATCCTGCTGGCAAAGGATCAATGGAAAATAGTGGTTTGAATTAAGATTTCAATTGTAAACCACAAGTCGCATGTATTTCCAAGAACTTAGCAATGGATTCATGGCAGAATATCAGCTTATACCCATTCTATACCATTCAGACAGAAGTGAGTATCTATTTTGATTTCCAGAAGTTTCTTAGTACCTGACTCCAGTGGACTATGTTCTGCACAGAAGTTCCAGCAGTGGTTTGTGCAATATACACATTGATTCGATTCTGAAAGAAAATATTCAGTGAGTATTCTCTTCCTCCCTTCTATTCAGATATAGAACAAAATATCTGCCACAGCAGAGTTGTGTAACAATAGAAACAACAGAAACTGGAGTGGTATGGTCATCGACTCCCTCAGAGTTACTCCAGACGTGGCAATGTCTCAGGTTTGGAGGAGCACTGAAAGAACAACCCCCAACCAGAACATTTTCTTGGATGACTGAGAATCTAAAAGAATCTACAGATAGAAAGGATAGGATAGCAAGTCAGCAACTTAGATCTCACACTAGGTGGGCTCTTTTTTGTCAGGAGTGTATAACACATCTTGGGTGAGAGGATCGCTGTTGGGCAGAACAGCAAAAGGAACTATGACTGCCTGAGGACCGTGTGACTACTTGAAATAAAACACACCCTAGTTCTGCAGGGGTTTCTTAACAAGTTGCTATGTAATCCTTCCTCAGTGAACGTGCTTGGAGGCATTTCTGGAAAAGGCTGGAGCAAAAGTTTAATGCCAGCTGGTCTCACCTACGGCTGTACATAGCATGAGGTGTCCAAGTATGTATTAGTCCCCAGTGGCTGCCAACTCTCTGTCAGGTACCCCCAGGTATCTTGTGCCTCTGAGCACATCCCTGGTGGTGCAAGGCTTGGAGGAAGGCAAGGGAGTGTGCTCCTTTCTCTGTAGCTCCTGAAAGCATGAAGCAAGTAGGGGTTTTTATTTCTCTTCCCATGGTGTGCCAGCATACTGAAGATCTCTGATGAGACTGGTAGTCACAGTGTGAACCAAGAGACAGCGCCCTAGGTGAGGTATGGCAGAAGGCAGACTGCAGAGTTCTGGGGGGACTTTGAGCAGTTTTTGATTGTACGGATGGTGCCAAGTGCTCTTCTAAAGAGTGAGGCAGTGGTTTTCTGCCAGTGATGGGGCAACTAGCAGATATTGCTGTGCAGTAGTGGGGACTGTTCCCTGCAATGTGATGCTGACTAATAGAAATTCAGGATTCACTTCACACCACAGAAGGTAAGTTTTGGGAGCAGAAGTTTAAACCCTCAGTAGAGCTGTAAAAGAGTTATACATACCACGTCAATGTTTCTCAGGTTACAGCCGCCCAGACCGAAGAAGACACTTCTACAAAGCCTGACAAAAGCAGGGTTGCTGCAGACAGGAACTATTAGCCTTCTCAGACACTCAGTCTGAGGAAGGAATTCTCTTTTGCCAAGCAAACCCTGCAAAATACAAAGGTAACATTCATTTAAGAATGTACACTTGTATATTGTGCTGTTGTTTTTAAAAGGTGTTTGTGTCCTGTTCCTCTTCTCTAGCACTTTCAGTGGTTCTCACTTGCTTTCTCTTCGTTTGCCAGATGATGTTCACATAAATAAGAGAGAAATTAGGTGGTAGGGTTTTTTTTCCATTGCATCAGCCTGCTCAGGCATTACTTAATTTGGGTTACATCACTTTTAATCAAGAGATGTGTTAAACGTTAACTCCAATTCATAGTTTAGGTCTAAGCTTGCACATTGATTGTGGCTTTGTCTACAGGAATCTTGGAAACCTTTGAGGATCTGCACCTCTGTACGTCTCTGGGAGACCTATCCCAATACTGGACTACTGCCCTAGATAAAAAGCTTCTTTTAATGTCCAGTCTGAACTTCCAAAGACTTCAGTCATGAGGTAAATCTACCCACATGCAGATGATTAGACTTTGTAAAGCCCTATACTTTCTGTTTATCCATTTTAAAAGCTAAACAAACAAGTATATGGTTAAACATTTGAAACCAAGATATCACATACCCTGAGCAATGTTTCTGGAAGGTAGAGAAGTTTTGTCACTGGGCTTCTAGCGTACTTAATAGTAGCAACAGGTGCCAATGCCAAATACAGTTTGATTTTTTGAGCCAGCTCTGGCATTGTTGAAAAAGCAATGAAAGCTGAGAAAACAAAAAAAAAGGCGAGTTAAAGAAAATCATTTTTACATCAGACTATTTTCATTACTTATAAACGCCATTCTGCAATTTCAAACCTACAAGCAACCTTGTAGTTAGTTGTTGTTATTGTTAGTTGTTCAGAGATCACAGTTCAGCCTCGATTTGTGTTGAATCCCTCTTCTCCATGTGTTACCAGATTGTAGTTTTATTTCCCTCTTCAGAGAGAAATTTCTGTCTATATTTTGCCTTTGCAGCTTTTTTTCAAACCCATTTAAACATAAATGCACACTTCTGAAGCACATTCATACATTTCACGTACTACTGGGAGGTGCAGCTGTTTTTCTTATGGTCAATCCAATTTCATATTTTCTTTTGTGTGTGTGTGTGTCTTTTTTTTTGTCCTGTCAAACTGGCCAACTTCTCTTTCTGTACTTTCATCTTCCTGTTTTGTTTATTTTGGTCAACTGACCAGCTGCTGTTGGGCATGCCCTTGCATCTTGGAATAAAACAATTTGCATGGCCACAATAATATCCAGTATAACTAAATAGAGAGACTTAGAGCAGCAGTGAACTTGGCCCATTATGTTTTACTGTCTTTATAATAAATTAAAAATTCTTTATGCTGAAACAGCTTATCCCATGTTTTTCACACCTGCATAGAGTTGATAAAACCCCACATTTTTCTTACCGATGGTAGTACCTTGTGAATAGCCAATATAGTACAACTTTTCCTGTCCTGTTTTCTCCACAATGAAATTTATTGCTGCTGGAAGATCAAACTTTGCCATCTCATCAAAACTGCAGGCAGGAAATTGAAGGAGTTATGCATAAATTAAAAATCAGACTTTGAATTCACATTTTTATTACAGGCTTGTTAGCACAGAAACAGCATGAACTGTGAAATGAATCATTCTGCTATTTTTCTGGCACTGGATATGGAAGATACGACTCAAAATTTTCTGGGGTATTTTCTCCCTTTACATCAAAGGAAGGACTATAATTTCAAGGAGTGTCAGGTTGAATTGTATGCATCTATACAAAAGGGACAAGTGGTGATATAGTTACAGAGCTCCTTCCACGGAATTACTTATTTTATACAATTTGCCATTAAATAAATGGTCTGTTTTTAAAAGCTCATTAAAATAAGTGCAAAATTATTTACATTTTCTCCTTTTGTGATTTTTGTATTATTGTAATATACAGACTATCGCTTCTAAATAGCCTTCAAAACTGTTTCTGGAACTAAGGAAAAGCTTGGAGATGATCTGTGCAGGTTCTTCTGTGTTGCTCTGCTGTTATGCCTCTAGAACTTTTTCTATCAGTAATAGTCTCCATTACTATCAAAGTGCACCTCAGCAAAAGTGAACATAGAGAGTGCTTTGTAAAAGGTAGCATATGTAAACCCCTGATTTAGCCAGCTTAAATAAATATGGGCAATGGAGATGCCTTTCAATGGTTCCATCTACCTGAAAGCCCAGAATTCGTCTTGATCAATGGAATGATTTTGATGCTTTCTGGACCAGCGATTCCCTCTGCTATTTCCCATCCAAACGTCAAAACCAGCATCAGCTAGTAGGAATCCCAAGCTGTTGTTGGGCAGGTTTGTGACCCAGTTACTAGCGTCTCCCAGTAATCCATGTTGGAGAAACACAGCAGGTTTTAAAGCTGAAAAACAAATAGAAACAAAACAATTCATTTTCTTTTCTGGTAGTTCAGAAATATTACTGTCAGTACTGGACTTGTTCCTGCACCAATTTAAAGGGAGAAAACTAATTATAAAAACAAAACTGTAAAGAGAGAACTTCTAAGCTTCTGTAAGGATTTATGGAAAGATCTGTCTGACACCAGTGAAAACTAGTTTGGCACCCTCTGGTCACTGTATAGCTCAGCTGCATTAACTTGAGATTCTCAACACTGATATAAAGAATGAAGGTGTGGGATTGTTTGCAGAGGTTTCCTTTACCCAAAATATAATCATTACCTGATATTTACCAGGTGTAAGCAAAACCAAAGCAGAATCAGAAGCTGGAACAGCTTTCACAAAACAGGCTGATTGGGCAGATTACAGCCTTTACCCTATTTTTTAAAACCCCATTTTACTTATCAACTCTTATTATGAGGGTATATGTTTCATATATAGTGGAGTTTTATTATAAATAGGTATGCTGACATAAATCAGGTTGCTCTTGCCATAATTCTCTGCTACAATTTCACTTGCATATACAAGCTTTGATGGATATTTTATAAATACAAGGTATCTCTTTCCAGAACATGCACTATCTAGGCTAGTTTTGTCTCATATTAACAAACTGTACCTGGGTTTCCCTGATTCTGTGTACCATAAGGGATCCGGTTGAGGGTAATAGTATAGCCATCTTCTGTTGTCACTTCATACTCCTCACTAGGGTACCCCTTGTAAGTAATGAGCTCATTCTAGGAGAGAAGTTAAATGTATTTGTTTGCACAAGTCTATTTTGTATATTATCCGCATAAGATATTCACAATGAAGAAATGTTAGAAAGCAGATACAACTAGGGATTTAGTCTATGTATATTAAGCATCTGAATAATGCAATACCAGATTGGATATTGTAACCCTAATGCTACAACAAATTTCCTTCATTCTTTGTATTAGATCTAGGATTCAACTGTTCAGTTACAATCTGTTAAACCCCACCTGTATTACGCTACTGCTGTACAATCATCACAAGCCCTTGCACTCTGGTGATACAAGAATCATTATAAGCTCATAGAAATAGCTTATGATTCCATTAGCTTCTCTCTCATCTTCCCTTAGAGATAAAGAGCTGCTCAGATACATGTTCCAGATCTGCTGTCATGCAAGTGAAACCAGTTTATTTAAACTACCTTCAGAGAAAACCAGGGAGCTTCACAACTGCCCTTTTGTGAATGGCACATATGCAGTGAGTACCACTGAAAAACTGACTACATTATGGAAAAACCAGGATCAGCCACTTGCATAGTCACAAGGGAAATATTGCTAGCACAGCCACTATTAAGCTCTGAAATAAAGTACTACTTTTGACATGTAACACTCAACCTGTTTTGTTACAAAAGAGGATTGGTTTTTATACCTTGTACTCAGTGAATTGCGCAATGTAATTTGCCACATGGCACAGAAACCCCAAGATTTTAACAAGTGACTAAAGATCTAAACAAGCTTGCTTGCCAAGAGGTGCTCTTCTTAAAAGCTGTCTGCTTCTGAGCTATGCTGGTCATTCAAAAAATGAGAAAACATACACTATAAGTTATTTAGAGTTGCCTTTGCTGACGATATGCTGACATTCCAAAGGGTCATTCTTTTCAGATAGGGAGATAGTGCCAGCAATAGCAAACTGGTAACCGATATTTAAAATTAAATTAACTCTGGAGATTTACTAAGGAAAGATGTCTGATTTAATTTCTATCAAACTCAAGAAGAGGAAGGGAAGGGAAAGGAAGGGAAGGGAAGGGAAGGGAAGGGAAGGGAAGGGAAAGGAAGGGAGAAGAGAAGAGAAGAGAAGAGAAGAGAAGAGAAGAGAAGAGAAGAGAAGAGAAGAGAAGAGAAGAGAAGAGAAGAGAAGAGAAGAGAGAAGAGAAAAAAGAGAAGAGAGAAGAGAAGAAGTAGGAGGAGTATATACAGTGATTAGAGATGATGGGTAAAATAAAGGCAGCTTATCCACCCTGTTATTTCTAACACCTAGAAACCCCTCTGCTTTGAGACATGTTGAGCGTTGAGCTCATGAGCTCAATGACATCTATTGAGCAACTTACAATATTCATAAATGCTTCAGGATCCACAGCTCTCTGAGTTCTTCTGAGTTCTTCTGAATAAGTAATTCCCTGCAACAAATACATCACAGCAACAAAGAGCCATATCTTCTTTCTGGATAAAACAGTATATTCATCAGTCAGTAGCCCTGCTCAGCACTTGTAATCCAGACAGGTTCCCTGCTTTTCTGATGAGGACGTGCTGCCTAATACTGAATGAGCTGGTCTGGTACTCCTTACTTGTTAATTAAATGGGACAAAGCTGACTTTAAACACCTATCTAAAGGAGTTTGACAGCAATCTGGATTATCTGCTAAGGTTTGGACCAGGATGCCGCTTTCAATCAGGGCAAAAGTATCAGTGAATCCAAGGAAAGGAGCAAAAGTTGCAGAGAAAAGGATTTCACTCATTCTTCTGAGAAGCAAGTTACTTACATTACCATGCCATGCATTTGTTCTGTAGATTAATTAGGAAACATTTTTGGCTAACTCTGAGGAACACTAGAGTTATTGGGCAACTTGCAGCTAAATAGATCATTGTCACAGTGAAGTTTCCAAAGTACAGACAACCAAGTTGTTGGATAGGTGGCTGAAAAAACAGACAATTGAAAATAAACAGATTTAAATATTTCTCATTTAATGAAGAACTTAGGTACCTAAATGGCAAAATTTATCCACTCCGTAGGATGAGGATGAACAAAAGAAAAGAAAGTTTTGCTAAATGTAATGCTAGCTAAAGACTGAGTGCCAGGAGGTCCAGTTTTGTTCAGGAAATAAGGGACAAAAAACTGAGAGGAAAACTAGCTTCCTTAGAGGCACACATAGCAGCTCCACAATCTGTGAACACCTGCATACTCTTAGCTCAAACAAAATACAGAGTGTTTGAATTATCATTCTACACCATGCAAACCTCTAGAGGCTATGTCTAAGCCTCTGTTACAGACTTCTAAGTTAGACCGAATCAGCTAAAAGTCCACTGCATTTATTATTTTCCCAATCAAGAAGACTTTGTAACTTTTTTCTCAAGTAATATGAATACCTAATATTTTTTCTTATCACAGAACAACAATTTATAGTCTAACCTATAATACATACTCACATAATCTGTATCCTGGAAATATTTAGCTCCTTTTGTAGGAAAATGAATAAACATTTTTTTTAAAACCCCTTTCTTTTACTGAGTAAGCATCTCTTCTTTTGGTTGAAAGCTGCTGCAGTCATATTCCTGCATTTGCCATTTCCCCATGCCTCTCCAATTATCCCAGTTACCTAATTCAAGCTAGACAAGTCATATTACTTGCTTTTAGCTGAAAGGAATTTTTCAAGGAATAGCCATCCTGTCACTTATATGAGTTACAAGCAAAACAACACAATGAAATACATTTGTTCTCAAATAATAAAGCAACTCCTCAAGCCCAGGTTTGATACCATCTTTTGCAGTCTTCACCAGTTTGGGTAAGATGGTTCAGAGATGAATTAAAGTGTTACTGACCTTGTGTCAGAAATCATGTGTTCAGCTGAGCAACAGAAACAACAGAAGAATGGAAACAGTTCTAGGCTGTTTGGAAGCAGCGCTGGGTAAAGATGGCAATAAAATGATGGTCATACGCTTCTTTTTCCCCAGTCATGCAGTACCTTGATGATGAACATCTATTTCTTTCCCACTCCTCATTTGTTCTGCTATCACTTCAGGTTTTCCCTAGGGTAGCACCAGAGAGAGGCGACTCCTTTTATACTCACACCTTGTGCTTTTCATCTCCTTAGACACCACAGCTATAACAAGGCTCTTTTCACTATCTCAGATTGCTGGATTTTTAAGGAGAATACCAGCTCTGCAGAGTGGCAGAGCAGGATCAGGAATTTTGAAAATAAATATGTTTCATAGATATACCTTATCATATTGATTGAAATTGTCAATAAACCTCTTTTACTATCAACTTGCCAATTTCAGCTTCTTATGTTATGTGAAAGGATGGAAAGAACTCGGATCCTTGGGTACTTCTATACATGTTATAGCACATACTTTTATTCTTTTAATGCTTATATTGCTGTTCCGTACTTCTACCTTGTTGCAGGAGTGGTTTCAGGAGATTTTCCTTTATTCATATTTCACCTCAAAAATGGCCATAGAATAACAGGTATTTCCTATGAATAGTTATGAGGCTAGAATAATTTTCCTTTATCTGTACAGACTGAGGAAACATTACCATAATGGCCACTTACCCCAGTGGTCTCAAGCATACTGGGAGGAGGCCAGTATTGCCCAGGAGTAGAAATTAGGCAGGGCCAAGTAGATTGTTAGGTCTTCAGGATAATGACCTTTGTAAGTCTCTTTTTTTTGTGGAGTACAAGCATAATGCAACCATATTCCTTAACTGATGTCCTAGATACCTACCAAGGTTTTAAATAGGCTTCAATATTTGTATTTCTATTGTAGTTTGCATATTTTCTCCTTGCAATACTAGCATTGGTTAGACCAGAATTATTTAATATACTCGCAGAAGCCATTTTCTTTAATATTTACAGACCAGAAAGCAACATGAAATAAAATTTCAGGAGAAGACCTGTTCCTACAAGATTTGCTAGCAGGTCTTCAAAAGGAACTATAAAGAGCAATGTTCAGCTTTTGGCAGGGAATTAGGAGTGGAAATGCTCACAGCCCAGCAAGCCAACTGTAACCTGGGCTGCAGCAAAAGGAGCGTGACCAGCAGGTCGAAGGAGGTGATCCTGCCCCTCTGCTCTCGGGAGACCTCACTTGAAGTATTGTGTGCAGTTCTGGTGTCCTCAACATAAAAAGGACATGGAACTGTTGGAACAAGTTCAGAGAAGGGCCACGAGGATGATCAGGGGACTGGAGCACCTGCCGTATGAAGACAGGCTGAGAAAGTTGGGGCTGTTCAGCCTGGAGAAGAGAAGGCTGCGTGGAGACCTCATAGCAGCCTTCCAGTATCTGAAGGGGGCCTATAGGGATGCTGGGGACGGACTCTTCATTAGGGACTGTAGTGACAGGACAAGGGGTAACGGGTTCAAACTTAAACAGGGGGAGTTTAGATTGGATATAAGGAAGAAATTCTTTACTGTAAGGGTGGTGAGGCACTGGAACAGGTTGCCCAAGGAAGCTGTGAATGCTCCATCCCTGGTGGTGTTCAAGGTCAGGTTGGACAGAGCCTTGGGTGAGATGATTTAGTGTGAGGTGTCCCTGCCCATGACAGGGGGGTTGGAACTAGATGACCTTAAGGTCCTTCCCAACCCTAACTATTCTGTGATTCTATGATTTTCAAAGAGCTGGTTAAGAACATGGAATGTTTCCAAATGTTGACTCTACACGAGGTAGGATTTCTTTTTTTGATCCTTCTTTATTTTCTTTCATATATTTTAAGATCTTTCATCTTCCCTCTCCAAAATATATATTTTCTCTTTTCAAAATTCTTGTGTCTTTCAAAGCTCGACATGAATTCCATGAATGAACTGTTTAAATATGTACTTGCTTTTAAGTACCTCATGGTATTCTAACTCATTAACATGTGCTAATAATCCACTGTAAACAAAGCCAGCTTCATTCCTTAATGCAAAGCAATGCTCCAGTGACAGAAAGAACTCAGTAAATCAATATTGAGTAAAAGGACAATGTATAAATGGCATAATACCATAAACAGAGAACTAAGGGATAAAGTCATCATTGAAGGTTAGTGGCAGCACATTTGAAGAGCCTGTTTGAGATGGGGAAAGAAGGTAAACAAGGGTGTTTAGGCTGATTTTTTTAAACACAAACATTCACCCTTTGCTGTAAGTTCATATGTTTCAGGGTGAGTTAGTCACCCTATAAGCAGGTGTAGAATTCAGTGGAAATGCTTAAAGGTTGAATTGTTATTGACAGAGGTGTGGCTGCAGCTTCACTAATGTGGTCATGAGCAAATGAACTTTAAAGTGGTCAGCCTAGGTGCCTGTATATAAATAAGTGTTTTTGTAAAAACTATTGACTATGTTTGGTTTATGAAGCCTCAGCTCTTTCCAGTGCTCTTTCTGCATAACCTCTCTATTCCCCCCAAAAACCCAAACAGCAATGCACAGGATATACTCCCTAGCATTTTGGTGTTTTCTGCAAACTCTTTGCTCCCCCCATTCCCTCCTGCTTCACAAATTAGACCTGGCTGTGTAAGTGACTTAAGAATGGAAGATGTTTGTGAGCAGCTGAATATAGCTGTTCTTCATGGACCAAGTATGTCCTTTTGGATTCTTCATCTACGTACACAACTAGTGTATGTAGTTATCAGAAACATTTAGCTATTTTGAGTATGTTAAGGAGGGCCTTTAAAGGAAGGTATGCTTTATTGAGAGGCAGACTTGTTTTTGTCCAGGTTTCCAGCCAGGAGTCTCCAAGGAAACACACAGCAGCAAAAACAGAAGGAACCCCTCTGTGCGCTCATATGGCTTTAAAAATATTCATGCCATGAACGTGTAAACACGTTGTTGTTTCTTGAGAGTGAGCAAAACACTGGGAATTATGAACAGGGTATAACAGTGTGTTCTCCACAGCATCCCTGGGAAAACACCCAGCTTCTGGTAGCAGGGATGCAGTGCCTGCCCTCAGCCACCCCATCCCATGCTATTGCGTTGGCGGGAGTGCTGTCAGCTCCCAGCACAGGTACATCTGGGAGTGAAGGCAGAGCCCCCTGTCCCACAATGGCTCCCACGCCTGCAAAGAGAGAAGGGATTCCTTCCAATGGAATCCACAGACAAAGAGACACAAGTGCAAAAGCAGAAAGCAGTAGTGAGAACACGTGCTGCTTGGGTGAGACATTCCCCCAGGTCTGTCAGGTCTGCGAAAATATACATGGTGCTCATCATCAAGGTAAATGGCATGAGCTTGCCTGGAGAATTTGCATCACATAGGCTGAGTGGCATGATATTCTTAAGCAATGAGTGAGGTATCTCTGAGTTGGCACTTAATGTCATTATGAATCTTCTGTGTGACAAAGGTAAAGTAAGAAGTGTTACAAGAAAGGGCTCAGGAGGGACAGAGCCCTCCTCTTCTGTTCACACTGGCGACACCTTGTCTGGAAATGCTCCAGGCAGTGCTGCCCTCCTGCCCAAGCCTCAGTCACCCATAGTAAGGCAGCTTGCAACCCCAAAGCTTAGCACCAGCTCCTCTGTTGACCTATCCGAAGGCAACACAACTTCTGAAAACCACAATCATTTCCATGGTACTTTTTGGCTGATCCTGAAGTTTGTGAAATGGATTGTCATGGTTTAGCCCCAGCCAGCAATTAAACACCACGCAGCCACTTGCTTGCTCACACCACCACCTCCCCAGAGGGATGGGAGGAGCATCAGAAAAAGTTAAAAACTGGGTAAAACCCATAAGAACAGTTTAATAATTTAAATGAAGTAAAATATACTACTAATAATAATAAAAGGAAATAAAGAGAGGAATAAAACCCCAGAAAGACAAGTGATACACAGTACAATTGCTCACCATCTGCTGACCAATACCCAGCCCAACCCCAAGCACTGATTGGCTCTCTCCAGCCAACCTCCCCCAGTTTCTATACCAAGTGTGGCATACTATGGTATGGAATATCCCTCTGGGCAGTTCAGGTCAGCTGTCCTGGCTCTGCTCCCTCCTGGCTTCTTGTCCCTGTCCCTGGCAGAGCATGAGAAAACAAAAAGTTCTCAGAGTAAGCACTACTTAGCAACAACTAAAACATCAGTGTGTTATCAACATTATTCTCATACTAAATCCAAAACACAGGAGTGTACCAGCTATTAGAAAGAAAATTAACTCTATCCCAGTCAAAACCAGGATGTGTATGCAAGCCAGGATTTCTTCACCTCTGAGGGTGGATGAAGTCTCTGTTGCAATTCATGAGCTTTGCATAGCTGTTCAAAGTGTTTTGCCCCACAATCCACAAGTAATTCTTTCTATCATTCCACTAATTTTGTGGCAATGTATACAGCAATATCTCCTCATCCACACATGTATCAACTGTAATTAGAAAAAAATAGAATCCACACACCTGTGTACACATGAATGGACAGATGAATTAGGAAGAGCTCATTTCTCTTGCTTTTGTTGCTTAATAAAATTTTGGTAGTGTGAACTCCAGTCTTCTGGCAGAAGCACTGGAACCAGCATGAGCTCTAAGCCAGAGTTACGCTCAGTGTGCACCAGTCAGTCCTGGTGAGCGTGTGCCATTAAGCACAGGTGAGCAGAGTATGGACTACTGAATGAGGCTGGGATTGGGTTGAGCAATTTGCTCCAGCCTGTGTTGTGTTGGCATCAGCAAAAGCCATCCAGGTATTTTTAAGGATATGGGTTGGAGGGTCTGGGGGCAGAGTGGCTTGGGTTTTACTTAGGGCTAAGAATTAAAGTAATGGGTTTCCTCTGGGACAGAAGGAGGCTGCTGGGGGTTAGAGGTGGCAAAACCTCCATCCTCTGTTCAAACTGGGATTTTGCATATCTACAACTGGGTAGGTCCAGGGTTGAGGTGGCTGCAGACCAGAGTGGGCAATGAGCTGAGGTCAGGGCTGGGCTCTGGTGGCTGGCAGTTGTGACCGACAGCTCTCTTCCTGTGAAAACCCTTCTCCTTCTACTGAAAAATTCTCTTCAAATGCAAATTCCATTCTTAATTACCTCAGTTCTGGATTTGAATTTTTTCATGCATAACAAACAATTTTTCACTAACTTTTGCTAGGCAAACAGCTTGGATAATCATAGCTCTGTCTTTCCAAATTGTAAAGCACTTAGTTTTGTTTTGTTTTGTTTTTTCTTTTATCTTT